TGTTGGATTACAGTTGTGTGGTTGTCATAACAGCAGAGGGAAAGTGGATCTGATTCCTAGTAAGACATATTACTCAGATTGCAAATTGTTCGTGACTAATGGCGCTAACTGTCTCGAAGATCAAGCAGACAGTATTTTTTTTTTATTTGATGACACTGATAAGACTGCAATTAACCCTTTTTAGTTAACATATATGAGATTGTTCAAGCAGTTAGTTTAAACTTGACTTACTGATTTAAGGTTTGTGGTCGTCATAAAGTTATATTCTGTTTTAAGCTATATTGAGCACTGATTCTTAATACCTTTCACACACACACACACACACATTATGATAGGTTAAGAGAGAGAGAGAGAGAGAGAGAGAGAGAGAGAGAGGTACTGGTTGGTGTTCACAGTTTTAAGAGTCAAGACGCTGGGAAGAAAGGCTCTGCTGTATATTATAAGTGTTTACAGGAGTAGCGATGCACAGATTTGAGACGAATTTATATTAACTCTAAACGGTTCCATTTCCATACCATGTTGCGGTTTTTTGTTATAATTGTCCTTAATATCAGGATACGTTGCATAACAAATATGGTAAACTTAATTTCGACACTGGTACTTGTATAATAACCTTCGTCATTGAAGTAGTTAAAGCAGCAACTACAAAAACGACTTCACCGATTGTGTAGATTAGCGCATTATTGTTAGACACAAGGTAATTATTTTATTGAAAAAGTAGCGGCAACAAAGATTGTTTCTCGCCTGTAAGACATCACTTATAGTTAAAAGGATACTTGTGTGTCGTGTAGGTGGTCGGTGTTTTGTTGTGTCTGTGTTAACAGATGAGATTAGATTAGATTGCCCCGAGGGGGCTAGTTTATTGGGCACCCCCTTACATCCTGTGCAAGGTGAAGCGCAGAAGCGTTTACAGTGCCCATCTGGGAAGCATGCGGAGTTCATGCTTGCCTTTATGACTTATGCATTAAGGGCGTAAAAGCCTGAAGGGTCATGGGTTTTGACAGCATGTTATATAAAGTGACAGAATGATGAGTGTGTGGGGGTAAATTTCCCGGTACAATTTATCTGTTTTTGGCAAAGCGTGGCAGGTCCCTAATAATGTCAAGTGCCAGGCCATAGCAATAGGCATTGACAATATTGAGGGACATACCTTTTAGTGTGATTGTGATGGCGTGTACGTCGGTAGTGTCGGCTTCAAGGGGGACGTCGAGAGGTTGGTAGGGGACGTCCTTCTTGGCGTAGATACGTAGTCCACTAGCATGTCCATATGGTGGTCAATTGATGTGGAGAACTGGAGTGGATGGGCCCCAGGTGCCGGCATGCCGGTGGGGGACGGGGAGCCGGGGGTGGTGTCCTCGGGTTCACGAGCGCCCGGTGGGTGGACGGGGGCAGCCGGGCACGAGGCAGGCTCGGTGTGGACGCCAGCAGTGGTGCCAGGCTGCGGTGGAGTAGGCCGTGAGCATGAGGGGCATAGGGGGCTACCAGGTTGTGTCAAACCAGAAGAGGGGGGTGACTGGGTAGCAGCTGGAGGCATGGGTAGTCTGTGTAGGTTGGAGATGGCAGTACAGAGTGTATCAAAGAGTCTTTCAATACAATTGGTAAATTCGTGTAAGAGGGATATGATCTGTGTCGTGTCACCGAAGGGGGGGGCGGGGGAGGCACCGGTCGGGGCACAAGGCCTGACAACGTCAGAATAGAACCCGAGAGGAGGCCCAGTTGTAGTTGAGTTAGGAGACGGCCGGGACTGCTGTGTTGCAGCCAGGTGAGGCCAGGCAGGGGCAAGTGTTGTTGAAGAAGGCTCGGTAGGCTCGGGGAGAGGTTGAGATGGCCGCAGCCTTCGGGGAGGCTTTTCTCCTGGGACAGACGGACGTTTGGGGCATTGTCGTGAGTCAGCATTGTGCCAGCCACCACAATTACAACACCTGGGGTCAACAAGATCACCCCCATTGAGGTGGTCTTTGATTTTTTGGGCACAGACGGAGGAGTGGTTACATGAACAGAAGCGACACCTGGTGAAGGTGTGACCCCAATGGGAGCAGATGACACAAAAAGCAGGCCCGGGGTGATATGGTTGAGCGTACAGTGGGGGGAGGACTGGGTGGGCATCAACAGTGGTTGGGCACTCCCTTCCCTTCCATTTAACTATGACAGCTGCTTGTGGGGTCTTCCCTCGGTAGTGTCGACGTATACTGAGTTACGAGCATCTTCGACTTCAGCGTATAGGGGGAACTGTTTAACTAGGATGTGGCAGCATTCCGCTGCGTCAGCAAGTGGAGGCACGTGGACCCTTGGTTAGGAAGTTAGGTTCACAGTGGATTGACAACGCTGAGTGTACCAGTTGGAAAAGTCCCCCAACTGTACAGGGGGTCAGGTCAACCTCCTGAGCATAAGTGACCATCTGTCTTGGATATCATATAATTCCTCAAATAAAATTAAGAAGAGTTCACGCCAGGTGCTTGCACTATATTTATTGGTAGAGTATTTCACGAATTCATAACTCTTCCTCTAAACAAGTTAGTTCTGAGGGTTTACTGTAAGGTAGCTTCTGCACCTTAATAACACCAACCTCTGAACAAGTAGCGGTACCTTCAACATACACTGCACTTCGCGTGACACTTACAAAAAAATAATGAGATATTTCCTAGCTAGTATGTTTGGTGTACACGAACGTAAGCTGATACAAGCCTCTGTGACCTGGTGCTGGAGGGCGTTTGGTGGTATACAAACACTCTGTCGGCGCCCGGACAATTTTAACCCTCTATTGTTGAACCTCTTTGTTTATGGCCGGCCCAAAGACCTTTAGTTTTCTCTTAAGATAAATTCCAATACGATTTCTTCCTTATTTGTCTTATCTGGTTGTGGGGAACTTCAGAAAAAAAATGCTTTATCGTAGTGTCCATCAGAATAACATTAATGGTGTGCATAGAGGCAGGTTAAAGAACGAGACATTGTGATAAAAGAAAAACCTCTTTTCTTTCTTTGTAGTGAAGTTAGCAGAACAGTGACACAATACTACAGTGAATGGAGGTATCTCGTCTCAATACAGTCCAGTTGGAAAAGTACAAAACACATCTGTTATCCCCACAAACACCCCACCTTCGTAAATATGCCAAATGGATTCGTCCTGTATGCAATGATAAGTCAACAAGAACAACTTGGAGACCTTCTTACTGGAAAAAGTTGTAATGTTGACTCTTACTTGTTGTGCTTTAGAGTCTCTATCGCATATATTCTGGCAAACATAGCTCGTATGAAGTGGTACTACTCCCATTTAACATTTTAAAGTCTGACCAAGGAGTCAGTGAAGTTATTAGTTGTATCACAGAGTTAACAAGAGGACAGCTGTATATTATGACTGTCTATTCTCATCTTCCCTGATTTTACAGATGGTGTTTATTCAAGGTAAGACGCATACTAAAGATAACCCCCAATTGGAGAACTACTATTGTTTCTCATAACAGGACAAGTAAAGGGATAAATGGATCACCAAAAGATTAGCTCCTCCAGCTTATATCTCTTGATGATTAAATAGCCGAATTAAGGTAATTTAACTTGGGGGGAAGCAAGTGGGGTGTCTGATATTCATGTGATTCGCGCACACGCACACAACTAAAGTACTGTACTGTAATATGGTAACATAATATTCAGTAACACCACGTTACTATGGGCGAGAAAACATATAAAAAGGGTGACACAATAGTCATAGTCTACATTTGCAAAACAGAAAAGTTAAAAAGCGAGAAGAAGAGAGTAGGGGAGGCGAGGGGGGCGTTATTAGAGAAGGGAGGTAGGAAGAGGTCAGTCAGGGATCGTTCTAACGTAAACAGTGGCTTCAACCAGCACTTCCATCCCCCCTCCCCCCTTCTTCATCCACCTCACCAGCCTTACTGCTTTCTTTCTTGTCTGTGTCTGTTTGTATCTTCTCTAGTGCCGGTAGTTTTTTTTTGTGTGTGTCTATCTCTCTATGTTTGCAATAGTACAGGTATACGTAATATATAGCCAACTGTTTACCTCGAGGCTGCACTTGGCCTTGGAGAGAGAGGTTAACCCTGTGTTGCTGACATATTCCCATTCTTCCTGGTATTTCTTTTTATTGGGCACCCCTACATCCTTGTGTAAGGTGAAGCGCAGAAACGTTTACAGCGCCCAACAGGGAAGCATGCTAAGTTCATGCTTGCCTTTATGTCTCATGAGTTAAGGGCGTACCTGGTATGTTATGTCGTCCAAGTTGAAGGTTATTTGAAAGGTTAGCTGTGTTATTGTTTAAGTGAGTAGACTGGCTCATGCGTCTCTTTTACTGTCTGATCAGGACTGTTCTAAATCGTGACCATCCTACCTAGTTCTCATGACAACTGACTCTGTTGTTTATGAACTGATCCAGACCGTATGACTCTTAACTCCCACTTGAGTTCCTGCTGACTAGTCCTTCCACTTGAGTTCCTGGCTGATTAGTCCTCCTACTTGAGTTCCTGTTGACTAGTCCTCCCGCTTGAGCTCCTGCTGACTAGTCCTCCCACTTGAGTTACCACATTGTCTGGCTTCAGATTCAACTAGAAAAGGAACCTTTCCCATACTGCACACTTTTATGCATGTACGCATGGTGTACAACGATGGAAAGGAATAATTGTATGTTTATTGAAAATAAAGCTCTTACGACAACCTATTTTTTCTTGCTTCATGCATAATGAAAAATAAATTCGATATTTACAGCAGAACTAAGATTATTTTGCATAAGCAATAGTAAGTGTTATTCAGCTTCGCCCGGATATGGGGACAGGACATCCCCTGGCCACACACACCTTCCCACTAAAGTTCAGTTAATTTCTCTATCTTCAAAACAATAAATGCATCCACAACATACAGACACAAACACACAGTCACAAATGCACACACAGAGTGTACAGTGTTTTATATATATTTATATATAATCAATATTCAAAGCTTTTACCTCTCAATCATGGCTCATCTTTCCATTAATGCAATTTTCTTGGTGTTTGCAGGTGGTGTAAAGCAAAGCTGGGTGGCCACCACAGCAACACTGCCAGGCATAACTTGGCATCACCAGCTGGAAGCACCTAAAATCCAGAGGGGTTCAACCCACTATGTTTAGTGAGCGATAAGTATAGTGGAGTGTCCTTACCTGAGTTGACAGAACCCACAAGGGGTCACAGCTCAAGGTTGAAGAAGCCGCAAGTCCAGAAAACTGTGAGGACAAACTTTTTCGGAGTGAGGGTTGTGAACTCGTGGAACAACCTGCCAGAGTATTGTGACAGCACCGAGTGTGAGCTCTTTCAAGACCAGACTTGACCAGTAGTGGTGCAGGTTCAGATGCATTCAGGAGCCAGAGCATGCCCAGTGCTTGCCAACATTGTGTAAGAGACACGTGACCGACCTCCCAAGCGGATAACGAGCTGATCATTGAGAGGATAAAAGTAAAATTTGGTATTGTAAAACAGGCCTGTGGCTACTAAATAAAACCAACATGACAAAGACAAGTGAACCTTAACAGTGTACAGCAGTCTTATCATTGGCTGTTGATGATAAGTATTGTATTATTGTGAGGCCTTGTGTGTGGTCAGTGCCAGTGTAGTGTATACAGTAAATCTAAACCCCAGCCTATAATCATGGCCACAAAGAAAACATTGTTTCGCAACATTTCTGTTGAAGGATCTACCCCAGGGACTCCTATGAGTAGAGGTCCAAAGCCTGATGCACGTTTTAATGCACTGCTAAAAGCCCTGAAGACACAAGAACTGCAGGGAGTAAGAGAGCAATTATCGCGGGGTTTACCAGTCAACTACCGAGAACCAGCCCTCGGAAACAAGACTCCACTTATCTGTGCCTCTGAACGTGGCTTCTTGGAGGCTGTAGTGGAATTGCTGGGCGCTGGGGCCAATGTGAGTATAGCTGATGCTGCTGGGGCAACTCCACTGCATATGGCTGCTGGTGGGGGGCATCTCTCAACAGCGAGGCTTCTGCTTGCACATGGCGCCCATGTCGACCCACTTGACGCCCATGCCAGTACCCCTCTCCATTATGCTGCCCGAACAGACATACAAGATCCAGGCAGCAGCAGTGTGATAGGAGTGGTGGAGATCCTGCTTGCTGCAGGGGCACGATGTGGCCTGAGAGATGGAGAGGGCCGTTTACCTCTCCACAATGCAGCAACTGCAGGTAGTGCAAAGCTTATAAAAGTCCTTGCTGCAGGGCCATATAAGGCAACAATTAATCTAAAGGATAATGAGGGCCGTACCCCACTGCACTGCGCTGTACTTGGGGCACGATCACTGGATGCTGTGGCAGCTGTGCTAAAGCTTGGGTGCTCTATAGATGCCAGAGACTCCCAGGGCCACACTGCTCTTCACCTGGCAGCCAAGAGGCAATACAATCATGTAGATGATGAATTTGATGGACTTTGTTTAGAGCTCCTGTTGTCGCATGGTGCTTCAGTAGCTGCCAAGAATGATGAAGGATACAATGCTCTATCTCTGGCCGTTCTGCGTACTATGTGGTGGGGTCGCCCAGGAGCCAGAGACCATATCCTGGATGCTGTGCAACAGCTAGTTGCTAAGGGCAGCTGTATACAGGATGGATTTGCCATGTGGAGGATGGTTGAAAGCTTCCCCTCCCTTGTGCCAGTTGCTCTCAACAGATCCATCTGTGCTAACACATCTGCCCATGACTCTCCTCATCTTCGACTTGATTTTGATTTTCATCCCCTCTCAGTGAACGCTAAGCACCTTCGAGAAATTCACCGTCAGTCTCCACTCAATCCACAGTCAGAGTTACCACCTCCCTTACTTGGGGACTCAGAAGTAACAATGTTTCATTACATTCTCTGGGCAGGACGGAAACGACTCCTACTACATCCACTCTACAAATCATTCCTGCACCTCAAATGGTCAAAAGTTCGCAACTACTTTCTTGCTAATGTCATATTCTACTTTTTTTTTGTTCTAAGTCTAACGGCTTTTCTCTTGTCATCACGTAACTGTCCCGACAATGCCACACATGACAACGATACAATGTCTGCACCCACCATCACAAACTACTCCATCCCGGCCAGTAGAAATATGACAAGTGTATGCCGATGGGCAGGTGAGGAGGCCGGAGTAGTGGGGCTAACGTGGTGGTGTTTAGTCATCTTTTCGGCCTTCCTTGACCTACGGGAAGTAGTACAATTGATGCAGAATCCTCTCATCTATTTATGCAACATTGGGAATCTCCTGGATGCTACTTTAGTATTCTCTGTCCCACAACTACTGGTTGGTGGTTCACCTGAAGAGGAAACAACTAATGGTCAAATGGCAATGTGTTGCTTGGCGGTATGGCAGCAGAGAGTTGGTGCTATTGCCATAATCCTAGCCTGGGTAAGGCTAATGCTTTTCACAGGGCAGTTCCCCAGTTGTGGGGTCTACATTGTTATGTTTTCTACTGTCGCCAAGAATGTTCTCAAATTCCTAGCCATGTATATGTTTGTGCTAGTAGCCTTTGCTTTGGGGTTCTATGTACTCCTGCGCTCGCTGCCCACCTTCAGGACCCCTGGCACAGCACTCATCACCTCCTTGGTAAGTACTGTATTTGTTCTCAAGTACAGTATGCCATCTTACCTTTACTTCACTCTGTCTACGAATGTTTAAATATCTTGTAAAATATAATGCCTGTACTTTTGTATGCCATTTTGTTTTCAATACTAATAATTTAAGAAAAAAAAAATAAAATCTCTATATATGTTAGTGAAGCTTTAACTGTAGACTTTATTCTACTGTACTAGAAAAGAACCTCACCCTTTGAAAGTTAAGAAGACTATATCCAAACAGTAACTTGAGCCTCTTGATCATTTACAAATCATCATTCATGCCTGCTTAAATATGAGTATACAGTATACAGTTAAAACCACCACTGTCACTCACAGTTTACCCATCCCCATCTTTTAAACAACTTATAATGCCTCTGAGAAGATCTTGATTATCCATATCCGTCTTAAATACACAAACTTTCAACGTAAATGCTCATGTGAACAATTTGTATTTATGCAGTCATATTCTGTCTGAACTACAGACTGTAATGCATTAAATTTTTTACTCCCTAATTTAAGTTATAAAATCTATGCAAGTATTGTACAGTGTTTATTAGATTGTAATTAAAAATGAAAACCACTAACATAACACCACAAACCTACAACCAAAGATTTCATTGTACATGGTTAAATAAATGTGACTACAGCTACTCCTCGACATACGACCACTTCAGTCGCACCAGAATTTTGTCAAATTACGTATTTCCGAATCCTGACGTTAGTGATCACACTGTGTACTGACAAAATTTTAGTTTGTAATTCACTTAAAATGGCTGGCAAGCTTAAAAGTGAGAGTTTTGTGGTGCTGAGAAGAAAAAAAAGACACCCATTTTAGATTTTCTATGAATTATTTATGCATTTTCGACTTACTACCTGGATTTGGGTCCCTAACCCCGACGTAAGTCGAGGAGCAGCTGTAATTGTTTTCCAAATGGCGAGAAGATTTGATTATACGTACACAGGTCAGCTCGGCCACTCCACGTCCCGGGCTACCCACTTCTCAAGTAGCGATACCAGCCCCCGTCTACATTGGGCAGTACCTCTGTTTGCTCACAATGCTGAATACATTGAGAAAGCTCTAACTTTTAAGTGTAGACTTTTCAAACACTATGTACACACTCAAAACATCATCTTTGAAGTCTGATAAAGGAGCCATTAGGGGTAGTGGTATCTTACATTATAAAGCTGTAACATTAAAAGAGGCAATTTGTTGAAAATGGCAAATACATTATCACCATAAAGGTTTTCATGTAAAGATTTATCACAATAATTTTGTTGACTGTGCACTGTTATTAACTGTGACTCACACAGGTGATGATGACCGGTGAACTGGACTATGAGTCGACTTTCCTGACAGAACCATCAGAGTCATCAATGTTGTGTATCTTCCTCCTGGTGGTGTTCATTGTGCTCGTCTACATCATCCTCTCCAACCTCCTCGTGGGTCTGGCTGTTAGTGACATGTACGCCATCCAACACAGGTCAGCCACTTTTAATAGTGCACTATACAGTACTGTATGTCAATTTAGTTTATATGAGGTTTAAATATCTCTATATATAGTGCTGTACAGTACAGTATTATGAATTTAATTTTGTACTTAGTGAAATATTGGCACTGTACAGGTAATTGACAATATTTATCAATTTTTTTAGAAAAAACACAGGTAGTGAGTAATTAGCATTAGAAAAGCAATTAAAATTTTTGAGATGTCATTTGGAGATGTAATTACAGTACAGTATACAGCTACAAAAATGCAGACAACAGATCCTTAATCAGCATGTTCAGAAGTACAGTACATACAGTATACTGTATTGAGATTTTGAAAAAAAATCGGTGAGATCAAGATTTTTGGCCATAAACACTTTTTCTCAGAATTGAAATGTAATGTGTCTTACCAGTTAATTACAGTACTTGTAGAATGACACATAAACAACAGAGGGTGACCTTGAAAAAACAGGGAAGGCAAAAACCACATTTTTTATTTTTATTTTTTAATAAAATAAAAACCAATATTGTTTTTTATAAAAGATTTTCCATTAAAACAAATTATTTTCCTTATTTCAAAACCCATTCCACACTTCTTAGACTCCATTAATGTGAAGTACCATATCTCTAGCTTCTATAACTCCAGGGCTGTACAGTACTTGTATTTGTATGACTGAAATATGTATGTCATAAATTTATTTTGGTACAGTACAAGTACCAGGAAACATTTATCAGATTTTATTCACATATGAGTAATAACTGTTTATGAAATAGTACTGTACCAATTTGTAAATACATTCATGTAACAGTTTCACTACAACTACATTTTTCTATTCTAGGTCCGAGATTTTACGACTAACACAACACGTAGAGCTGATGATTCAAGTGGAAACTTTGTTCAGGAATCGTCTTGTTCCCCAGAAGATGCAACGGTGTCTCCTCAACAGCATTGCCATCATGGGCTCTCAGCAGAAGTTGACTGTCTCCGTTTACCCCAATCGTACCCGGGGATTTGGCGAAGGTCTATTCCTGTTCCTTTCGAAGGTAATTGGAACACGCCGTCTGCTTATCAAGCTATTTGAGATGTTCGTCTCTGGATTCATTCCTCCTGAATATGAAGTTTCACTCCCTTCACAGCTCATGAGAGAGGCTCTTGATGTGGCATTAAGAGAACATGAACTAGATAAGAGAGAACGTCTCCTGCATCTCCGCGCACTGCAGATTGGGACAACTGGACACCACAAACAGAACCAGTCAGGGCAGGTAGCGCACGTTCCAATTAACCAGACCACACTCACTCGCGGATCATCATACAGGAGACCGACAACTACAGCTGTTCGATCTTCTTGGCGCTGGACTCTCATGAGTGATACGGACAGTGAGGATGATACTGTGAACATGTTACATGCTCAACCCTCAGTCTGGGCACCTCATCCAGCAGCATCACAAAGAACTGTTATTCCAGATCCAAATGCACGCCTGGAAGAACTCAGGAATATGGTTCTCAGTCTGCAGAGTACCATAGAGTCACTCACTGTGGTCATACAGCAGAGAGACACAGATCAGCAGTTGTCCTCACAAATTATAAATTCACTTGATACTGAATTTACAGTCTAAAATAGAGATCACAATCCAACTCAGGCATCACATTAGGATCTGGGCTTCAGGATGGACCCACACTGGTGTCAAAAGCCACATCACTGTTAAAAGCCAGAGCTTCTCTTTGTTATTAGAAAACAAAGAAGCAACTGACTTTTCAGCTCTGGTTTCACATAATTTATATGGAACAAACACATCCATACCCTTGTATCTCCTGGGGATTCTATCAGCACCATCCCTAAGCTTAAGAACCCGGGTCATGAATCTTCCTTACAGAACCTGAGGAAGTTGAGGACTGTCATCCATTATGTAAAATACAATTAAGTATTTTACCACAAGCTTCACATTCACCACTAAAATCAAAGTAGTAATTAAATTGACAAAAAAATTATTGCATGCATTCACTTTAGAAACAAGTGGTAGCTTCCCACCATCTTAAAATATACTTTTAATAACTTAATTTGTTTGACAGCCATTATTAACATAATTACAAACTGTTAATGGCCAACAAACTATGACAACAATGAAATAAATCTAATTCCTTTGCCTTAATTCAAGATATATTCCTGTTCTTACAAACATAAACATGATTTACCTTCTTTGTTATAACTTAGGAATTAAAATTATTCTTCACTAAAAAAAAAAAGATGGCAGGAATAAAAAAGTAATGATAGAGCTTTGTCATGATGAAACATGGGCTCTATTTTAGATATCACTCACACACATCTCATTGTTAGCAACAAATTCAAAATTAATTATTACATACAGCACTTGTTTCCAATGCAAACATATACTTTTCCCCATATGATTGAGGAGAACAGATTTCTTGTGTAACTCATAACCAGCAGTAAACAGTGATACAGTATTGGTACACTGTACTGTAAATGAAAGTGTGAAGCAAAATATATGAAGCACATCAAAACAGAAGCAAACAGAGTGTCTCAGATCAATCCAATGTTAGCTAAAAAAAAAATTGAAGTGCACAAGTAACCAGAAGGTGGAAGTCTTGCCAGTGATCAATGAGCATTGTACTGTACTGTATTAATATGGTAAAGTATAGTACAGTTTAACCAAAAGAGTGCTTCTGATGCTGCAGTATTGTACAGAACATTGTAAATATTTCATTCATGAATCATAATAAGTTTCATCATTACTGGAATATAATGTAGAAGAGTATTGTATATATCAAAATAAAACTGATTTCTATGTATTAAAAAAAAAATAAATTCAAATTATTGAATATCTTTCAACCCTTTCTCTACAGGATGCCACTTATCCAAGGGGTTAAACTAATTGTACACATTTTCCCTGAAAAATGTGGTATAGGTACTCAGTGTATGGAGAACATGACATGTGACATAACGGTGAGGATGATTTATGTCATATTGATCACAAAATGACTAGAAATTCACATGTTTATGATCAGTAGCAAAGCTCTTCAGCAGTCTTCATTTTTAGAATCCCACCATGCCAAGGGTTATTCTCTGTGAGCCCGGTATTAAAAAATTCTAATATAAGAGCCAGTTTTGAGAAAAATTTATCAAGAAACATCAAATTTGTCTCCCGATATACAGAAAATAAAATAGACACCAACCAATGGGGAAGAAAAAAAAATTAACATAACTGTACTTATTGTATATCACAGCAGGACCTTAATGCCTAACTGGGACTTTAACATTTCATATCAACCAGAAATTAAAATGCACGCCTGGAAGAACTCAGGAATATGGTTCTCAGTCTGCAGAGTACCATAGAGTCACTCACTGTGGTCATACAGCAGAGAGACACAGATCAGCAGTTGTCCTCACAAATTATAAATTCACCTGATACTGAATTTACAGTCTAAAATAGAGATCACAATCCAACTCAGGCATCACATTAGGATCTGGGCTTCAGGATGGACCCACACTGGTGTCAAAAGCCACATCACTGTTAAAAGCCAGAGCTTCTCTTTGTTATTAGAAAACAAAGAAGCAACTGACTTTTCAGCTCTGGTTTCACAGAATTTATATGGAACAAACACATCCATACCCTTGTATCTCCTGGGGATTCTATCAGCACCATCCCTAAGCTTAAGAACCCGGGTCATGAATCTTCCTTACAGAACCTGAGGAAGTTGAGGACTGTCATCCATTATGTAAAATACAATTAAGTATTTTACCACAAGCTTCACATTCACCACTAAAATCAAAGTATTAATTAAATTGACCAAAAAATTATTGCATGCATTCACTTTAGAAACAAGTGGTAGCTTCCCACCATCTAAAAATATACTTTTAGTAACTTAATTTGTTTGACAGCCATTATTAACATAATTACAAACTGTTAATGGCCAACAAACTATGACAACAATGAAATATATCTAATTCCTTTGTCTTAATTCAAGATATATTCCTGTTCCTTACAAACATAAACATGATTTACCTTCTTTGTTATAACTTAGGAATTAAAATTATTCTTCACTAAAAAAAAAAGATGGCAGGAATAAAAAAGTAATGATAGAGCTTTGTCATGATGAAACATGGGCTCTATTTTAGATATCACTCACACACATCTCATTGTTAGCAACAAATTCAAAATTAATTATTACATACAGCACTTGTTTCCAATGCAAACATATACTTTTCCCCATATGATTGAGGAGAACAGATTTCTTGTGTAACTCATAACCAGCAGTAAACAGTGATACAGTATTGGTACACTGTACTGTAAATGAAAGTGTGAAGCAAAATATATGAAGCACATCAAAACAGAAGCAAACAGAGTGTCTCAGATCAATCCAATGTTAGCTAAAAAAAAAATTGAAGTGCACAAGTAACCAGAAGGTGGAAGTCTTGCCAGTGATCAATGAGCATTGTACTGTACTGTATTAATATGGTAAAGTATAGTACAGTTTAACCAAAATAGTGCTTCTGATGCTGCAGTATTGTACAGAACATTGTAAATATTTCATTCATGAATCATAATAAGTTTCATCATTACTGGAATATAATGTAGAAGAGTATTGTATATATCAAAATAAAACTGAATACTATGTATTAAAAAAAAATAAATTCAAATTATTGAATATCTTTCAACCCTTTCTCTACAGGATGCCACTTATCCAAGGGGTTAAACTAATTGTACACATTTTCCCTGAAAAATGTGGCATAGGTACTCAGTGTATGGAGAACATGACATGTGACATAACGGTGAGGATGATTTATGTCATATTGATCACAAAATGACTAGAAATTCACATGTTTATGATCAGTAGCAAAGCTCTTCAGCAGTCTTCATTTTTAGAATCCCACCATGCCAAGGGTTATTCTCTGTGAGCCCGGTATTAAAAAATTCTAATATAAGAGCCAGTTTTGAGAAAAATTATGTCAAGAAACATCAAATTTGTCTCATGATATACAGAAAATAAAATAGACACCAACCAATGGGGAAGAAAAAAAAAATTAACATAACTGTCCTTATTGTATATCACAGCAGGACCTTAATGCCTAACTGGGACTTTAACATTTCATATCAACCAGAAATTAAAATAATAGTGTTGAAATAAAACTGTAGTACCTGATGTACATATTCACAAAGCATCATCTGTATTTTATAGCCATTTTCCTAACATTTGGGTAAGTTGTGATTAACTGATGGCAGCTCTCATTATATCCTTAACCGTAAGGTCATTCCCCACAACCTTTCACCAGATCACCCTTGGCCTAACCCTGCCCTATTTGTCTCCATCATTCTCTCCATAGGCCTAAATCATCTTAGCCTACCTCTGCACAAAATCTCACCAATACTCTGATTACATATGTGCTGAGTTTCTTATCTCTTAATATCACAGAACAAGTTACAAGGTGGCTCTTCATTACCCTTGTTTCCTTTTGGGATTGCTATTAAATTAGGTCCTGTATCCATATAAAGTTGTTGGCTGTCATTATTATTTCTCCGTACATACAAAAAACTATCCCAGGTTGAGTGCAATGAACCCAGGAAGTGATAATGCCATGCCTACCCCAACAAGTTAGAAGTCTTACAACATTCTGATGCTGTGATCATGAAGTGAACACTAATGTTGCTCCAGATCTCACTCTCACCAAAGAATGTAAAGAAGATATCTTGGTCAACAAGTGCAGTTATGGAAAACATAGAATATCATCTCATATTGTGGATAGAGGACCAGAGTCAGCATAATACAGGGTATACTGTACTAATCAGTCTTTAAGTTGTTCAAGCTAAGGCCAAGGATTTGTGCAATGAATTGAGAGCCAAGATGGGTAAAAGTTCAAAGGCAGAGCCTATTTCCATTAATTCTTACTTTTCAAGGAATGCAACTGTGGCATTTAGCAAGGACTCCTTGCATTTAAAAACTTAAATAAACAAGATTTTGTTATTACAGCAAATTAAATGTTCAACTTTTAAGATTTTATGGATGATCGATCTCTAAGCTGTTCAGTCACTGTGTTAGTGAGATAACTAATTGCCATTAATCTGGGCCTAGTAAGGGATACGGCCACTCTCAGGTGTAGCAGACAGGACAAGGTCATCAGCTTCTTCTGACACTCAGCAATACACTGGAAGGAAAGAATTAGTTAATATATTACAGTTAATAAACTGATTAAAAAATATCTTTCTTTATATACAGAACTAAGTACTGTATCTGCATTATTTATACATTTTAAATTCTGAACTTCCTGGGTATTTCTCTAATAAATTCCCTTCAAAATTCTTTAAGTTTTCTGTTCATCTTATATGACTTGTATGTACTGCAGGTCACTTAGCCCACATGATCACCTACCAGAACACCACCTGACAGATCATACCTTCCCAAGTGAGTATTTCAGACTCAGCGTCTGATGAAAACAGTCACCCACCAGTGGTGCTGTACTGTATCAGGGTTTATCAAATAAGCTCAAGTCAGCAAGTTCACAAGTACTGTACACAACAACAAACCCTGGAACTAATTCTCTTCATTGGGAACCTTTCAGGAATAAAACATCTAACTGCCATATTTACAACTTCCTCCCCAGTCAACTCAACTCTTGCTGACTATATAGTCCAGTGTTCCTCATGAGTATTAAAACAATACACCAATTCTTTTTTTTTTCTTCATGTTTTAGCAGTGTACATATTCAGTACAGTACATTATTATAAGTACTGTGCAGTGACCCCTCGTTTAACGAATGCCTCGGTTAATGAACTGCCTTCCATAAGAATCTTCAATTCGGTTAACGAATTTCTTACGAACCGACCTCAACATGTTTTCGCTTGCACTGACCGGACAACCAGCTTTAGTATCAGTCCGCCAATACATTAATCGGTTCTAGGGCTTAAATTCCTTACTATTTTAGTAAATATCAAGAAGTTTATACTATTCAATAATTTTAAAAGTTTAATATTCAATTTTTTAGTCATTTTAACAATTATTGAATATAATTGAAGGTAAAGTGACTAGTTTAATGCACGGCATCCAGCCTCTTAACACAGCAAACAGGCGTTAGTCTCTCTCTGTTTTCACTGGAGGTAACATCTTGCTTGAGGCTCTCTTCAACTAAATGCTTTTTTTCTGTGTTTCCAAGCAAATTGGTCATTTTGAAATATATTTTACACATTGACAATATATAATGCAGTGCAGTGTTGATTTAAGGAAAATAATCTTGAATTACACCAAGAGAGCTAAAATTTTATGGGTGAAATGGCGCCATGGGGTGACTTCTCTTCCACCCCAATGCCTTCTCTTCTTCCTTCTCCTCCACCCCCATTCTAAATCCCATCATCATCATCATCATCATCCGGGAGCCTTCTACATACACACCTCAAAGTAAATGAACTTTTCTACCATTTTTGTTGAATTTAGGAAATTTTCAGTGAGCTGGAACCAATTACCCAAAAACCCATTGAAACAATGGTTTCGGTTAACGAACGACCTTCTGGAACGGATTGAGTTTGTTAACCGAGGGGTCACTGTACAGTAAACCCTCAATTTCTGCAGCGGTTATGGTCCCAGAAAGTGCCATTTTCATGAACCAATCTATCACGTATGTATATATGTTACAGTATTTTTTCATGGACTGAATTATGTACGATGTACAATATTTATCAAAGGAGTTTTGGAATAGGTTTTGGGTATTTTTAGTCTGTGGAACCAAACTAATTATTTCCACTTAGATCAATTAAACTACAATTCGTGATTTGATAATTCACGGCATCTTCTGTTCTTCTAGATTCCACCGTACCCTGTACTCTATTTTTTTTCTTTTAGTTCTTTTTCTTATCAATATTAGTAGTGATTTGTATCTTCTTATCTGGCTAATACCCTTAACTATGTGTACTGTACTGTGAACTACAACTATGAGACCTGGGTTGTAAACACAGTGTTCAGACTCAAACCTTGTTTTCCCATTGGTCTCTGAGACAACTACTGTACCAAATTCATACAAATTCATTTTGCTTTGACTGGGTTGGATGGCTGGAATAAGTCCATCACTTCCAGCAAAACATTGTTCATCAGGGTAATGTTTCCTGCTATCATGCACTGCACACCTCATAGGAATGACATACCCTGCCTATGTGGTGTTTGGCAATGGTTACATCTCGCAAACTATAATACAGTATTATGAAGAAAGTTTATATTACAGCAGACAGGAAATTTACATACCATGGTAATTTGTGATATGATAACAGGATTAGACTTGGCTTCTGCCTTTTTCTGATTAAATTCTTCTGCATTAATTCCAAGAAGTTCCCGAAGGACCTAAAAAAATAAGAGGGAATTTTGAGTCAACGTGCCGATGATTGTCATAGATGTCAGGGCAGTCATTACCACCAGTTACAATCACACCTCAACATTTAACTTTTTTGTATTTTTTGCAGCATCAAAAGATGCTGAGGAGCTGATACAGACATCTTAGGGCTTCCCATCCTGGACCTAGTAAGTTTATAAACACAATTGAACTACAAACAACATAAAGTACTGTACTATATTAGGAGTGTTTTAGTTACCAGGCTTACAGATCATTATGTGAAGCAGTGGCCAGCTATTGACTCAAGGTGTTTTGATTGTGGAGAGTTTGAAACATATGTAAATATAATTTTGATATTTCAAATGAAAATATGATCCAATCAGTTCCTTCCTGATCCATGGTGACTACAGGATAGAAAATCTTTTAATAAATCAATTACTTGATAATCATCACCATTTTATAGACATTTTCCACACTTGTGTGAATTAGATGCAGGTACCTGACACCAACTCCCAAAGTTGCACGGTCTCTTGTACTGTCTCTAGCCAGGTTCATAACTCTAATGACATTTATTACATTTCATGATGATAGAATCATTCAACTTTGGTTTCACTGACTAAATCTAGTATGGACCTCCTATACAGACTTTACAAATCATAAAATTTCAAATCTCATTGGAAAGAGCAAATTACCCATTTATTTCTGAACTATAAGAAATACGGGTAACTTATATATTGTCACTTACCATGTCATCCATGTCCACTTCCCAGGAAGCACTTCCATCATTGATCAAAGCAGTAAGTTTCCACCTTCCATTTACTTGCCCCAAATTTGATAACAGAGTCGTGATGAAACCTCTCACTGTAAATTCCTAGAAAAAGAAGTCCTGGTAATTATGATAAGACCTTTATAATGTCAGTAACTTATTTGAAGGGTCTAACCAAATGACGTGAAAGCCAGAGCCTTTAACTCCTGTTTCATGAGTGGGGGGAAGAAACAAGAACAAGTATCTTAAAAGGTCCATAATGTTAAATCATCCCACAGCATTGTCTACCTTTGCCACTGAGCCTGTCATGTTTAATAGCAGAAAGCAAAAACCAGACAAACAAACTCAGGTACAGTACAGCATTGTGTTTGATACAAGCACTTCTTTTGTTCACTCATATGAGTTGGTCAGTCTAAGGATCTGAGTCCCTTTTCATTCAGTGACTGTCTCTGGGCGAGTGAAGTTTCAGGTCATAGAATGACACCTACATGTGATCATTCAAAAACTTTTTCTGCCATAAGGGAGGAGAGAGGGCATTCCTTTTTCAATTCTTCATTTATGACCTACTGATCATCAATAAGGCATCTAAGAGACTTGATTCCAGCCAGGAACAGAATGACAGAATTTCTTTCAATAAAATCAACTGATAGTACCAGTTTTGAAAAGCCAACTAACAAAACCTCTTAAGGAATCCTTTGTGTTCCTCAGTGAACATAGAGAAACATGCAATATTCCTAAACAAGTATTTCATGTGCACATTATACACACCCAGAACTTTCCTGAGAACCAGTACCTAACTAACTGGGATTCTCATAGCAGCCTCAGGTCAGACCCCACATACTGTACACAAATATCTTATGCATTGAATTTTTAATTTAATCAGTGTGAGAAAGGGTTGAATCCAAAAGCAATTGACTAACTAACCAGACACTTGAGTTGTTAAAATAGTAAACGACCTTAAAATACAATCTATAATACAACATAAGGGTCTAAGATTACATGGTCATGGAACACCATAACACCTGTGTAAGAATTTAACAACGAAAAAACAAAAAACAAAACCCTGTGAATGAGGCCTCAATGTCATGCTAAGGGTAAATTGAAATCTGAAGTGGGTAATCTGGTATGAGAACTTGGTAACCAGTGTCAATAAAAAATGGATTTAACTGTCTCATGCTATGCTCACAGCAAATCTTTTTCCTTTTTGAGGTACTGTTTCCAACTGAATCCCTTGGGACTCTGGTATAAAGGTAATGAATGATCTCATTCTTAAATTTATCCAGTTTTTAGATCCTAATCAAATAATGGATTCCTGGAACCAGGAATGACTTGGACTTCCTGACTATGGCCAAAGCACAATGACAACTTATGTGGAGGCATACCAATACAATCATCATCATCATCATCAGAGTTATATGACCATTTTTCATACTTGTGTGGGTTGGCCATGATTACTTAAGATGATCTATACCAAGGCTTCAGTAAAACGATTGTCTACAAAAATGAGGAGCTCTTTAAAGCCTGGAGTAATGGCAGGAACTAAGTGGGCTTGAAGGTTTCATCCCATAACCAGTAACTTCACTGGTCCTGACGCAACAAACAATTCAACAGAGACTTCAATCCTTGGAACAACATTGATTCACCTTAGAAAGTGTTGCCTGCATCAATAACATTATCAAACCTTCCACATGCACATTATGTACTTTGCCATAAACATGTCAAGCCAGGAGAAGAATTAATGGTATGGATCTCGTACGTCACTTGTTGGTAACCCAGAAAACATAAATTGTTCATTAAAATATTGATATCAATAATGAAATCAACAAACTAATTATATATTACATAAATAAAGATACCCACGACAAGGTGAAAGGTTTCACTATTCTCCAGCAGTCTGGGTCACAAACCTGAGGAATTAGGGGTTTTTTTAGTTGATAGACCAGATATGTAAAAGGTGGGTCATGCTTGACTCTCTCTTCTAAACTTCCTGAAGTTGAATTAATGTTCTCTTGTTTTTTCTCTGTAATTGGAGTAGCAGGTGTTTTAAAGCCCATGTCCTCTAAGGATGTCTGTTTCAGCATTGACCTTGAAGATGAGGCCATGAAACTGCTTGCAGTCTGAAAGCCAACTGCATTTGAAAATACTGCACTTCCACGCTTTAAAGGAGAATACTTCCAAGGGGATTTTTTAGATGGCAAACTTCTTTGGAAGTATTTGGAATTTGGCAATCTGTTGGCTCCTGGAGATTGACTTGATGGCTGAGATAAAAAATTCGTCAGCCTTAATGGCTTACTACATTTTTCTGTTAATGTACTGCTGCAAGAGGAACCATGTTTACTAATTCCTGTTAATGATTGAGTTTTGGAGGTACCAGGAACACTAGAAGAACCATTAGGTTGTCTTAAAGTTTCCGTTGGTATATGAAAACCTTTACTGGTGGTCTGAGGTGTTATGTTTGTTAATGTAGATGTTTCTGAACTTGAAAATGATTCATTAATTTGGGATTCTGCATCAATCAGAATCTCATCAAAATCATCATCGAAAAAGCTATTGTCAATGTTCATATCTTCACCATTATCATTATTGGTGTCAAAATGATTCACAGTGTTGGTACTGGTCTGAGAAGTATGTGTTGACGATCTGCTGTTGGATGACAATAAGGGGGTGACTGCACTTGTACTTGTAGCAGATGATAATTCCTGACACTCAATTTGGCTTAAAGCCATTTCCATGTTTTGGTCAAAAAAATCATCATCATCCATCTCATCTACACCGGTGGTTGGAGGTGCAGTGAAGTTAGCCTAAAAAGAGAAGAAAACAAGTAAATTATTCAAAAGTAATTTTAACAAAGACATTCTAATGGAAACTGCACTGTCTTTCTATGAGGTGTGCCTGTTATATGAACAACAAACTAGAGGTCAAATAAACACTTACAACAGGTGCAGCAAAATACCAATGCTGTAAAGCAACAAGTGAAACAAGTCAAAGCCTACAAGAAGAATATGAAGAGAAAATAATGAAACCTTTATTTATCCTCCCATGGTGTTACAATGGGGGCACATATATTTGAAAGGTGAAGTCCAGGTTATGTTATGGAAAACTTCATATTGGTGACATTGAATCAATGAAACACAATGCAAGAGTTATGAGGCCTGTCCACACTTATTGCAAAAGCATGTTAAAATTATGCGGCATAGTAATTCCCAGTAGAAAATACTGTATACAGTGCTGGCAAGATCAATCCAGAGGTGAGAATTACTATGTCTTCACAAGAAATAATGTAACTCATTATTTAAAATTCAAATTTGTATATTCTAAGTTCAGGTAAGAGTATTGTTACATCACGTGTACAGTATATCCTAGACTTTTTTTATTTGACAAGACTGCATGTTGAGGCAATGGGACGGTAGGACCCAGAAAGTAAGGTGGCTTGGATGAATTACTACAGAACATACCTGTCGTGATGAACTCTTTTCCCTTGAAGCTAATTATTCTTATACTGTACTGTATATTATTACAAAGCAGTGTACTGTATGAAAATCATTGCAAAATACTTTTGATATGTAAGTTCTGAATGACAGTTCTTAATAACGCAGACACCCGTAGTTTGAGTTTAAATATAGTATGTAAATAAACAAAGACTATTTACATCCAACAGGTTAATGCACTGTATGAGTGGTTCAATCTCTAAGTAAGCAATACAACTCAAGTCACTCAGATATTGATTAAAAGTTAATGCTGTAGTACTTTTATGTACATCAATTTCTTAACACTCTCAGGTTGCCTGAAATTTATTTAACGAGCCTGTCACTGGACCACTTTTGAGCCCACAGAATGACCATAAATTGCGGAGAATAAATTTCTTTCCCAAGTGTTATTTGTGGCTAAGATATTGTCAATTATTTATTAAAATGATGGCTTCCTACATAAAAAAGGCTGGGAATTAACATGAAACACCCCCCAAAAATAATGATAGCAATAAACAAAAGTCATTTTGGCGAGTACGTATAAATGAAAAGTGAGAGTTTACTGTTGATTCCTATTCATGTTGTACCCACATCATTGCATCAGTCAGTATAAAATGCTCATGACAAGAAAGAGTAAATCACAAAAAAGATGATGGTGTGATCAGAAAAAAAAAGTTAAAAAATAACGGAGTTACAGAATAAAAAGTGTAAATAACTGGTGGTTTGACGCGCGGTCGCCGAAATGTTTATACACATTTTTTCCTTGCTAGTTTTTTTTGTTATATTATTTTAAAAGTATTTTTTTAAGGTGGATTATTAATCGACACAAACTAAGGAGGAGAAATAGATTCAGTTAGAAGTTTCTGACAAAAACTGAAATTTTGGGAATATTTACGGTACACTTACCACTCAGACGAGGGGGCCCATGGCATATAAACAACAATAACGTTATGAATACGTATTAAATAAGCATAATATTAATTATAATTCACCATACCCATATGCATGCTCCTGCTGCACTACATTTCACTATCTCATATTATTTCTCCAAGCTAAGTATATACATTACAACATGCTTTTGTGTGGTACATGTGACTGTATTGTGAGTACCGGGTAGCCATTTCACCGTCACATAAATTCTAAAATACTTCACTATTCATTACAAATATCTTGAGATAACAGTAATCTGGCCACGGTGGCCAGTTTTAAATCTCACCTGGGACCCACACCCCCCCACCACTTAGGAAGCCAGAGGCACACTGGCGACTGTTGCACAATAAAGCATGGCCTACTGCACCTAGACGGGTTGCCACCTAGCCTGAAGACTTGGTTCCGCACAGGAGTGGCGAAACCTAAGTGGCGTTAAAATTTAAAGTAATTCAACCAGAAACTTTCAGAGAAAATGAAATAAACGCCATACTGGCATGTCTGATCATGAAGCAAAAGTTCATTTACATTAAGTCAAAAGGCCACTTATGCATGTCTGATCGTGAGCGTGTTAACATTTTCAAGGTCTAAGGACCTAAAAATTTACCTGGCTCCTATACCCTGATGAAGACGGTGTCACTTCTCTTCTTGGTGGCTGAATATTTTGAGGCCTAGTGGATGCTGAGTTGAGCTGTGAAGGGTAATAACAGGAAGACTGACTAGGGTGTAACTGGGTGGGAGCCGTGTCTTCATATTCTCTTGGCTGTGGGTTTTCCTTAGCGCCTCTATGAAAAGAAATTCCATATCAATGTTCCAGGAAATTTATGACTGCAGATTGGATGATATGACTCACTCACCAACACGGTACAGTAGACCCTCAAAACACTGCACAACTGGGATTGACAATTGTCGTGCAATATCAAGTCATGTTATACTGTTCTATCAAAAGGAAATAAAGGGTACAGGATTGCAGCCTCAAAACATACAGAAAAAAATACCAAATTTTCTTGCTTCAACACTAATTCTGTCATTTCAAAAGACCTTTTAACAAATTATAACACACACTGAGTCTGAACAACTGTTTCCTGGACTGCACTTGTTCAGACTCAAGAAGAATGATGGAGTAGTGTATAGAACTTGGGTGCTGTGACTCATGCCTGATCTGCGTAGATGCTGCTGGCCAGTCCTAGTAGCCCGTGCTGCCATCTATTGTGGGTGGAGGAAACTTTAAATTTTCATTTGCTGATCGATTGTCTTCCTTTGATGTTAAATCTAAAAAAACAAACATGCAGTACTGTACTACTGCAAATGTTCAATGCTTCTCTAAAATAAGGACTAAAAACCTAATTAATGGTCTTCTTGCATTTAAGGTCACACCAAAAGATTCATTAACCCCTAATATTTGGGTCAGGTCCTGTGACATGTGTCTGTAGAGCTTAGGACCACGTCACATGACATTTTGATCTTTCGCGGGTCTGTTTAAACTAAAAGGGTGGACCTGGCTAGATTATGTTACCAAATAGGTATTTAACTTTCACTCACTCACACATGAAAGCCTACCAGTTTCTTCTCAGCTTTTGTGATGTAGGAATCTTGTCCTTTGTCTTGACTCACTCCACCATGCGTTTCTACCCCACAACCCCCAAGCACAAGTTTAGTAATGTGATCAATTACTGGAGCAATAATAATGACTTTTATTAGTGTAAATAGTAATAATATAGTACAAGTGTCCTGTACTGTACTTTATACTGCCTACAAATTAGTGATGTTTACCTCGTTACTATTGTCCTACATACGTCACTTCGCAAACATTCTCGATTATTCCTAGCCCCTGTGTTACCAACCTGTGGTCAGTTTCAAGACAAGAATTGCTTTTTATTTGTTTTTTAAATGTTCCCGAATATACCAGCAGGGGAGGGGGGGTTGCCGACCACAACCCAAAGTCCAGGGGCTAAGACACCACTTTTTCTTACTTTAACACTAATTCCTTCATCTCAGTACACACTCTCATGCATATCAGAATCCCTAACCAGCCATGTTGAAATATTAATTAAAGTCAAGTTTATTATTTGACGATGAATAAAGATTAATTTTCAGGAATAATTTCAAGTGATTCAGACATCACCTGAATCAGACAATTTACTGAACACCGGCACCCAATAATAATACTACTAATACTACTAATAATAATACTGTAATAATAATAATAATAATAATAACAGAGGTACTACTACTATTATTACCACTAATAATAATAACATAAAGAGAACTAGACTTAATGTACAGTATATACCAGTGAATACCCTTGACAATAGTGTTTGATGCTGTAAATATTCACCAGTTAAAATACATAATCAAGAAATAAACTCAGGTTGACTATAACATCTTCTCAAAGCAAATGAAGGAAGTGGATAAAAATTAATGAAATTTTGCAAGTATCTATACAGTAATAGAAAAGAAATTAGAGTATTGTACCGGCATATAAAAAACGGGTATATACAAATAAAAAAAGAAACAGCGTGTACATTTGTTATCATAAATACTAAATACAGAATCTTCCAGTTAATTATTTTACAAACAAATATGACATATATGTGTGTGTGTGTTAAAAACATATGAAAGTGTCTTAAGAATAAGAAGTTTTATCTAAATTCAAAGGTGAGATGAGGTGTAAAAGGGCATTTACCCCCAAATTACACACAAAAAAGGCAATGTAAGATTCATATAAATGCAACACAATATATTATTTCCTATATGAAATTTTGTTTCCTTAAATTAGTGAGAATTATTGAATACAGCGGTCCTTCGGTTATCGAACACAATTCGTTCCACAGAGTCGTTCGTTAACCGAATATTTCGTTAACCGAATCCATTATTTCAATGGGATATTGGGTAATTGGTTCCAGCTCACAGAAAAGTACATAAAAGTAAAAACAAAATGCAGTAAAGTACACTTACTTTGAGGTGTGTATGTATAATGTTGCTGGTTGATGATGGGAATTAGAAGTGGGGGTGGAGAAGGGAGAAGAGAAGGAAGTTGGGATGGAGGAGAAATCGCCTTTCTTTGGACCCATGCTTGATGCAGTAATTTCACCAATAAAATTTTAAGTTCACTAGCAATAATTACAGATTATTTTATTTAAATCAACACTGCACTGCACGATATATTATAAATATGTTTACTAAATTTTAAAATGACTAATAATTTTAATATAAAAAATGCAAAAATATTAAAGAGCACAACTTTCTTGATATTTACTCAACTGGAAACGAATGTAAACATGGAACCAATTACTGTATTGGCGGACTAGCCGATCAGCTGATCAGCTGAGGCTCACAACAAAATGTGTTTGTCGTAAGGATTTCATTAGTCGAAGTTTTGATCGTTAACCGAATTGAAGATCCTTATGGGAGCTAATTTGTTAATCGAACTGTTCGTTAACCAAGGGACCACTGTACAGTAGAGTATTCAGAAAAAAATATGGAATCAAGTACTAAATGTATTTACTTACAGTTTTCGTGCAAGAACATTTTCCAATGCATTTGAAACAAGCAAGGCCTCAACCTCCCCACCCAGGATGGTTATGTGTTCTTTCTTAAGGAGCATTACTCCTCGACGGACAAATATAATTCCAGATAACAGTACCTACCATGGAAACATAATATTACATACACATTACACACACTGCTCCCTTGTACAGTAAAAGGAGGTCTCGTGTCAACTCTCCAGAAAAAACCAGCATTACAACCCATCTTTACATGTCTCCCCTTTAAACAAATACAATATGAATCGTCTTTTAGTTAATATATCTTTAAACTGTTTCAATAAACTCCCTAGTGAGTGGTCACATATCTCGAACAATAAAGTATCCCGATATTTTATTGACCCATTTCCCCAACTTTGCTCCATTTATATTCCAAATTTAATGCATATGACCAATATTCCACACATTGCAATAGGAACCTTTGTATTGGATGTACAACAGTTAAGAAAGAAGGCAAAATTATCACGACAATATCTATTACAACATCAACCTAATGGTACATGTTTAGCATTATTGTATAATACAGTAAAGCATTATCTTATCTGCCATGTTTCACTACATCTGACATGTAGGTTGCTACATATAATGGTTCTTAACCTCTCCAAAACAGTCCATTTATATTTTACCTTTGTTCCAGGCTTGAGGTTTACATTGAGGTTGGGAATAGAGTGATACTCCATGCCTTGCACTTCACGTGTTCCATCTGTCATCTGCAGCATCAACATTCTGCTTGGCTTTGGCTCCCACCAATCAGGCTGAGTAAGTACGGAAGAAATCTTACAAGAGGAAAAATACATATTTGGTTTAATTTTGCAGCAGCATATGTATGGTAGCAGGTCAAAGAACCTTGATTTTTGTTAAAGTTTAAGATGCGGTATTATTTCAACCAAAGTAAATCACCAACTTGCTTAATAATTTATCTAGATATCAAGAAAGAAACTCAACCAGAGACAATGTAATTAACTTTTATTAAAAAATAAATAAAATCTGACTGACAATACATACTGGTACAAATAGGAGGTAGGAGGTAGTAGGCAGCTAACAAACGGGGAGGTACTACCGCCTGGGAAGATATTGGAAGCATAATGTATTGTCTAATGGTAGACCCTGCTGCCATATGGCATCACAAAAATTGTGACCAAGTCCCAGGTTGCTGATCTGACTTTCAGCCTCATTTACACACAATTGCAGGGTCTCAATTGTTTCTCTTACTTTGACAACACAACATACATATATCGTTTCTAACTACTGTATTGATTTTTTTTACTTTTTTATTTCTTTATGGTTCTTTATTATTTATTATTATTATTTTTAATTTCATATATTTATGAATAAATTTATTTACTATGAGCTAATTATTATTATTGTTATTATTATTACATTTTTGCCCCCAAGTCCCGATGTGGGTCAGTGACCTGTGCCCGGGTGGGCTTATCCTGAAGAAAAAGAAGAAGAAGAAGAAGAAGAAGAAGAAGAAGAAGAAGAAGAAATAAAAAATAAAAAACAACTTACACTTCAGTAAATACATTTACCCTAATAAGTGTTTATCTGCTATTAAGGCTAATTTCACTGTATCTTTACCTGACGATGGTCCTCGGCTGACACATATGAGTTTTCTGCTTTTTCTTGCCTGATCTTCTGAAGCTGGGGGTAAGCTGCCTGGCCAACATCACAAACCTGATTCACCTAAAAATAAAACCACAAAAGCTTTAACTCAATCTACAAATCTGTGGCTACTTCTGCTGTGCACAAAAACTTAACTCTTTAAATTTGAAACTTCACTTAATGCAGTTGTTAACATGAAATACTACTGTACTGTACAGTAAGAGATGAGTACTGTACTGTACTTTTCAGTAGGGCTGGCAGCCTGGCAGGCTCATAATGTTGCTTCCAAGAGCTTCCTCCAACAAGCTTACTGCACTTTGTAATAATGTTCCATGACACGAGTATTACTGTATACATAATTACGAACACCCAATACTGTATATAACACTTATAAATGTTTGTTTACATGAAAACTCTTATGGACACTTTGACAGAATAAACTCATACAATAATACAGTAAACATCTATTGACGCACTTTTGTAATCTCCCCGTTAACCGGAATAAGTGGTGCAGAGCGGTTCTGGGTTATGCCATTTGGATGGTGTAAGATAAGTGGGGTTTTTACGCTTGGTACCCCCGTGTAAGGTTGACAGGCATATGTGTCTTCCATGATGTAAAATAACACCCTGACAGAGAGAAGGAGATACCCTCTCAGGGCTTCCTAACTGGTCACAGAGTATTGTCAACAAGCAGGGGTCACTTCCCTTAACCCTTTATTTCCCATCAAACAAACCATGGTTTTGTCAACCACATATGACTTATATGTAAATCTGATAGTCAAAGTTATCAAAATATTTATGAATTAATAAGCATATTCATGAGATAATAACAAAAACAGGGTACATAATATACCTGTAAGGCAAAATGGCCTTGAATGACAGTAGTTACTTCCTGTTTTAAATTACAAGGTAAACAATGGGTAGCCAGCTCCGACAGGTCACACAACAGCCATTGTTCATACACCAACTCCAACATACGTTTCTTGCCGGTGGCCTGTATGAAAAAAAGAAGAAGGAAGATCGAAGTCAGTTAGAGCCATTATTGCTGTCCGTTATGAATAAAGATCATGTAATAATATTTTGATGCCAGACCTCAGCAGGCCAAGACTAATTAATTTACTACAAGAATAACCACATTAGCTAAGATCCTGTTCAGTAAGAGAGCCATATATCTTAATCCCCATCGAGGATGGCATTGACAAAACACAATTTTGAAATACAGTGAGTTCTGCTATAACGCGTGTTTTGACAACGCGAATTGGCTCTAACGCGATTTATGAATAGAGGAACGATATTTGTATAACGCGAACACTTGTTTGCTGTAACGCGATTTTTGCTTACTATTTCTCCAATTTTGTGGCATTAACTGTGAATATGGTAAAGAAGAATATCTCCAAGAAGCGTTCTGGTGATCGCATTCCCAGTGATGATCGTAAAAGAAAGGCTATAACCCTTCAAGAGAAGCTCGATGTTATCTACCTCAAAATCACCCTTCTCCCTCATTCATATTTTTTCAAGGTAAAGTGTTACATTTACTGTATAATTTCATTATTAGATATGAATGCAACATTTATTTAGACTGTGCTATCCTTTGTGTTAGGCTAACTACTAAATTTTTTCGATTTCGAGTAGTAATCTGCACCTAACCCTATTTTCTCCATAAGCCCTGTTATTTCTATTACGCGAATTTCTATAACACGATGTTTTACAAGAACACAACTATCGCGTTATAGCAGAACTAACTCTAAGACCAACAAATGAAAATTCCAACTAAGTATTCATGCATAGAGGCCTAAGGAACCAGTGAGTTGGCAAAAGAAAAATTATGAGCCTACTTTAATTTGGCAGGCATTATCCAGGCCTAACAAACAATTTGAGATAAAAAAAAATTGCAGACACTGTAATATTTTGGGGAGTGCTGTTACAATGCTTTCTGGCAGATTATTCCAAGAGTTCTCAACCCTCACTCCAAAACATTTGTCCTGACAATTTTTTGAAGTTGTGGCTTATTCAACCTTAAGCTGTGACCTCTGGTGGGGCAGGCATCCGCTAGTGCCAAATATGGACAACTGATTGAGTAATGTCTTCTGGGGTGTTTATAGACTTCTATTAGGTCACCCATTGCCTGTCTATAGGATAAATTAAGCAATTGAAAGTGTTATAATCTCAGGGTAACTGAAGTGCCATAGTACAGGCACCAGTCAATATAGAGTTCTGAGCATGGTCACTACCAAATATTAACCCCAAACTAACCAACAAACCTAACTCAAAATTTTTAGTTATTTCCACTGTATTTTACTCTTAAAAAACAAATGTTAATTATCATGTAAACATCGACAAATGATTTGGGCATAAAAAAAAAGTATTTTATAATGCAGTTTTTCATACTATATAAAGTGGTGATAATGAAAACTTGGAGAAATGTATAATTACTGAGTTATGACCCTTCCCTCAAAGGTGGGCAGGGCTTCAAAGTAGAGGGTAAATGTGGATTAAAAAACATAACAAAAGAAACTACCCTAACTAACCTGGGCATTGTGTTCACCACTGGGTAATTATTCCACCGAAACTGACATACAATTTAGGTTCATAACCCGACACTGGCATATGATTTAGGTCTCATTTGTGGAATATTAATTAAATAAATTTTAATGGGACCTTAGAAATGAATGTTCCATTTGCGCTAAAGTGGTAATGTTCCCTGAGTAGTAGACATTACTAAATTCCAACAGTATTTTATTTTATTTTTTCAATTATTGTGTTAAGGTTAAGTGAGTCTTTCACTGTTCTTAGCAGCTGGTGACAATGTTACAAACAGCTAAACAGCGCTAAAAAAGGCACAGGATACAAGTACAGTCCATGTCTATTGGTACGGCAGCCTAGTGTGGCGGGCAGGTTATACTATGATACTTACTAAGATGACCTTTCTAATGTATTTAACCTAACTTAATCCAACTTAACCTAACCTAGCCTTATTTTTTACGGGAATTAGCCCACCTGGACACAGGTCAAACGCCCCATCATCACCAGGATTCTTTTTGAGTTAGGAATCGATTAGGTTAGGTTAGGTTAGGTCCCCCCCCCACCCCATCCTCCCCGGTAGGTACATGGCACTAGAGGAAACTGAAATTTGGATACAAATGAAGGTTAACGTCACTCTCTACTCCGTCCACATTAGGTTAGGTCAGGTTCTGGTAAAATTATCGTTTTGGTCATCCACCTAGTTGGAAGTTGAAAGTAATCGTTCAAAACACATAAAAAAAAAACATCGGAAAAACCTAATTTTAACCTAACCATTAACAACACAGTCCGCTAATACGGCTGCCGTACCGTTACCTATATCACTAAAAAAAAAAAAAAATACTGAGAACTGTGAAACACTGAAACCCCAAACAATTTTGAAAAATACGATAAAGCCTAATGGATCAAAGTCTTTGTACTGGATACCCTAATACACTATTATTGTTTAGCTTAACCGTGGGACACACTGGTCTGCTCAAGAAGTATTACCCCAAGTGATCCAAACTATTATAGCAACTCACATGTGTAGGATAACTCTGTCGAATCCACTCAATACAAGCTGTAAGCCAGTCATCTGGTACTTTGATGTGCCTCGCTTTTAGGTGCAACTTAACGTCATCTAGAGTAGCCATGTTTGATCTACGGCTTCTACCGCCTCTCTGCAATGTTTGTTTACATTGTTCCCGCCAAAAGAGAGAAATTCAGACCAAACAAGGAATATATAATAAGGAAGTATAACTCTCACTGCCGACACTTTACAAAAAACGTTAAATTATTAAGGATAAACTATACTGTTTGTTCAACTATTTTTTTTAGCATCAAAGAAAAGGTACTCATGAGTATCATAGAAAAATTACAGTATATAAATAATTTACTTGGGCAATATGAACTTTATAAACCATTACTGAAGATCCAAACGATATAGGGAACGAGTTATTATCTGAACTGTAGTTATGCAAACAGTGGCACATAGACAACAAAATTATCCTTACATCTTGAACTAACTCTTGACTCTTAATTGTTTTCTCGGTGAATTAATCATAGATAATTTAGTTAAAAATTAATGCATAAATGCAAATTTCTATAGAAATGCTAAATACCTCTCAGCTTATAGGCCACCAGTCATGGTACCGAGAACTTCAGTTCGTTATCATCATAAACCTCCCAGATCTTTCTCATATGTAGTTTCGGTTAATGTAGAGTCTTCCTCACTTGGGCACATGTGATACGCTTCCCTGCTGTTGGTACCACCAAGGTGCATCTTCTTGCATCTCGCAACGATGAATCTCTGAATCCATTCCTTTGACCCCTCCTGAAGTCGATGGAGATCTTGCTGTAGTGTTTCACAGTCTGTTTTGTCATTAATTTCCCAAAATAGCTTAGCGTCGTCTGCAATATCCTCCAATCCATGCCAGGCCATTCCCCCAAATCAAGTATTCTTCCAATTTCATTTCCAGCCTTTCGTGAGGTGCACTGTCAAATGATTTGGCAACGTCAGGGTGTACAGTATATTGTTAATGTTATCACCATGTTATAGCATTTGTGTCCACACATCCAGCTGTCATGATCGTGATGACGGCTAACCTGAAAACCTAAAGGATTCATATTACGCTCAAACGTCCACAAACCCTTCTGAGTCCCCCAGTGGAAATGTCCTCCGTTTTCTCTGTTTCCTTGATGACGTCATCGAGAGGCCGTCTTTGTCTGAAGGGAACTTTGAATATACTCCGCGGATTTCGTAGCAAGACGCTGTATGTTGGGATCTGTTGCCATCCAACCCTTTGTAATCAATTTAATTTTTGCTTTTGATAGCTCAGTCAGAGCATTGTTAGTGAAGATAATAGTAAGGAATGAAACTGAGTTCATAGTCTCAGTTTCAACGTCATGGTGGACAGTAAAGTAATTCATCGAAATAGAAGTAGGTGGAGTACCTGACCTAGTTTGAGTGAGGGTGCCGCGGGCATTTCAACCGTTAGTAAGTGCTCGCCCCTTCACCCATACAGGTAGGTCATTCCACTCCGTGTCGTAATTTGCCCTTCTTTAAGTGATTTGACCCAATTATTAGTTGATTGTGCAAGTGTTGCAGTAACGTAGTTGATATGCTTTGAGTGAAGTAATGTTTACGTCTTTAACGTCCCCTGAAACGTGATGTCGTCACAGTTAGTAAGTGCTCGCCCCTTCACCCATACAGGTCCCTAACGCAGCCTAGGCCGTGTCTGTAGCGTGGATGTTGTATCCACTATGTCTGGAGAGATGTCCGAGGTCTAGTAGGATCAGTTATCTTCCTGAGACCCGGCCGTCAGACACTTCAGTACTACCTATGGGCCCCATAGCTGGCCCGTCTGACCCTAACGCTCGGCCCGCAAGGTGATCCCGGATCACCAAGCCACACACAACTACCAGCCCCCATCATTGGTGGATGAGTGCCTAGCTCAGTAGGGCTATTTCTGTGGTGGTGTTATTCCACTGGGATCTTCAGAGTTCGTTGGAAAGTACCCCATGGTGGCGGGACCCCATGGCGGTTGCTTGAGTATCACTCCTGACGACTGAGTGTTGTAGTGGCAGTTGCCCCTGGTCTTAATGGTGCTAAGTTACTATAAGAGTTTGTGTTATTGAGTTTGTCCACCCCGTAGTGGTGTGAGTATTTTGAGCCTGAGGGCATAGTATCAGGAGTTCGTCTGTTGGTACATATAACTTTCCCCTACCTCCATTTTAATGTTTAAATAAATATTGTATTTGTATATTGTGTCTATTATTTACCTACAGTATCTACCGTTATTTCTTCCCTATTACTTGATACTATCATTACATATACCCACGAGCCTCCCTTCGGCACGCTACCAATGGTTGTAAGTATTAAAGTAAAAATTGTTATTAGAGGCACAGGCCCCTATACAGCGCCTCCAATAACTGTGTCAACTAGGAGCGTCAAGGTATAAATCCGTGCTTGCATTCCTTCACAAGGTTGTTCCGTGGTAGATTTTCCATCATGTCATCGCGTATAATACTCTACTTTACTCACTACGCTAATCTCCAGTCACTGGGGATATTTTGTGCTCGGTACACTCACTGTCTAAGGAATATACGATCATGGTGAAGAGTTAAGGTCAATTTTATTACAATCTCCACTTGACAAATCCTGAAAACATACATGCAGTTCCCGTAGACTTTAAAATATACGGAACCAGAGAAAACAATAATGGTGGTGGGGAAACTATCCTAATTTACACGACTTCCATAACTACAAGTTTTTATACACATGAACTGTTAAACTTTGACGCACGATATTACAGGTTAATACATACTGTTAATACAAGTAGATATAAGAAGCTTTTAACGTCTTTCTTGGGTTATCCTTTACTTTACTTAACCTGTTCGTCACTGATCGGTCTGTTAGCCGCTTGAGCAGTCGATCACGTCTGTGTATGTGCGTGCGTGTGTGTGTATAATACTCTACTTTACTCACTACGCTAATCTTGAGTCACTGGGGATCTCTTGTGCTCGGTACACTCACTGTCTAAGGAATTTACGATTATGGTGAAGAGTTAAGGTCAATTTTATTACAATCTCCACTTGACAAATCCTGAAAACATACATGCAATTCCCGTAGACTTTATAATATGTAGAATTAGAGAAAACGATGCTGGTGGTGGAGGAACTATTCTAATTTACACGAGATCCACAACTATACTGTAAGTTTATATACATATTTGAAATTACTTATAATTAATTTAGGCTTAGACGATGTTGTTGGTTTGTGGAGTATTGATGTAGTGATAACAGTGTTAAGACTCTCACTCTCTCTACAGCCTTGATGAAGAAATACTAAAGTCCAGGCGAGAAAAATTTGTAGTGGATACTCTCCCCTATAACTGCTGGTTGATCACTTGCCTTCCGCTTACCAGACAACCAGCGGCGAGTTCCAAATGTGATGGGCCTCACTTTCGGACTGCGAGGTGATTGGCCCGTTACCGCCATTCACCTCAGCCAATCAGCAGCGCCGCTCACTTCACACCTCTCTAGCTGATCTGGCAGAATCATATAAATACCCCCCAGCCTCGCTGTGAATGGTAGAAGCGGTACCGCTCTTGCCTCGCAAGCAAGATGTCACGGGTTCGATTCCCGGGCAAGCGGAAGTTGTTTGGACACTCTTCCTAGCCCCCTTGGCCCCTGTTCACCTAGCAGTAAAGTAGGTACCTGTTGTAAATCGAAAGATTGCGAGTTCGTATTCAGGGAAAGTTGTTGGAGCTTCTAAACTTGAACTGACACAATCCGGAGGAGTGGTGACCCGAGGATCACACACCCAACACAGACAAAACCAAATACGTGCGCTATGCGCTAACCAAATAAACGCAGTTGTGTAAAGCCACGGCACTATCTCTCCCACTACAATTCCCTTCCTAACCTCCTGCTCCTTCCTCTGTCATCTTCCCCACTCTGCCTTTCGCTACCAACAACTTTTGGAGCTTCTAAACTTGAACTGTGAAGGTCATTCTACTCAACGCTCTCAAATAGACAAGACCTCTTCTCAACAAGCTCTTCACCACACAGCAACTCCCTAGCACTGCATTGTACATACAATATATATATATATATATATATATATATATATATATATATATATATATATATATATATATATATATATATATATATATATATATATATATATATGCAAATAAATCACTGTAGGTGAGTTCCCTTCTCACCACCATCCCTGGTGCGAGATGTCCTACATGTACGTATGTATGTGAGACTAACAATGAGAAAATAGACAAACACAAAGAGAAATTTGACAACTGGCCACATACAATACACTATAAATTAACTCTGATGTTCCTTCAACAAACTCTACACTAAAGGTTATTATTATTGAATTAATTTAGTTTTTAAAGTAACATTTTACTTTAATTTATATTGAACTTTTATTAACCCTCCCAAGAGAAGTTTTTAAATTAAATTTACGTTTAATTAAATCTGCGTTTTGAAATATAATTTACTTTAAGATATAAATACTTTCTAATGACGTCTGATTATTTAAGTCAACGTGTCTATGATAGACAGTTGCGTCTGTAGCATCATTATGAGATACATAATTACAAAAACACATTTGTTAAGACAATTTAGTCTGCAATTCCAATTCCCTAATAGTAAAGTGTTTTTGCTCCAGAGTCACCAAGGCAACATCCCCTTTACCGCCCTGGCCAAAATATTGACAGCCTAGTTTGTTAAAATCTCAGTATAAGAGAGGTGGTGAAGAGGAGGAGAGGAGGATGAAGGAGACGGGGGATGGGGTGAAGGGAGTGATAAAGGGGAATAGGTGGCAGAGGGAAGGACAACACTGTATCCCCCTTTCGTCTCCCTTTCCTCCTCTTCACCATCCCTCCTCCCCTTCACCCTCTCCTTCCCTCCTCTTCACCAACTCTCCTCCCCTTCACTACCCTCTTCCTTCGTCCACGTCCAGTCAGGTTTAAATGAAATATCCTGTATTTTATCCTTTTAATATTAATTAAAAGCAATTTGGAGCGTGTGTGTGTGTTTGGGTGACACATTGAACCAAGTAGTAAGTGGACAAATCTTTTCCTTCTCCTTCCCCTTCACCATAACCCCTTCCTCCCTCTCACCATCACCTCTTTCTCCCCCCTTACCATCACCCCTTCCTTCCCATCACCATATTACCATCACCCCTTCCTTGCTCACACCATACTGCCATCACCATTTCCTTTCCTCCCTTACCATCACCATACTGCCATCACCCCTTTCTCATTTCACCATCACCATTTCCTTCCCCTGACTATCACCATACTACCATTATTCCATACACTTTCATCATCACCATCACACCAAGAAAGTACTGCAGATTCATGATCCAAATTTACTCATTTTTGTGAACCAAGATTTATTACTCTCTCAACTTCCTCCTTATCTCTTGTCGGTCAGCTGGAGGCCCAGGATCTCGTAGAAGTCTTGAGGATCGTGTAGAGCGAAGACCATATCCTCCTCGTCCTCACTATTCTGTAGGAGACTATCGTGGAGGGCAGGGGTCGAGTGGAGTACCCGACCAACGCCCTCTACCAGTGAACTGTGGCAAGAAAAACAAAGTATAAACGACATGAGGAACCGAAGAAACAATTGACAGTCAAAACTCGAAAACAATAGAGCATCACTTATCAGATTATAAATGTCATAAAAAAAAGAAACATATAGATATTAAAAACAAAACAAGAGATGGCAGGTTACACGCACTACATGGCGAGGCAGCGTAACACCCCAGGTACTCACCTGTACCTGGAGTAAGGGACGCCCACAATAAAGATGACAGAGTTGTAAAATGGGATTCGCCACAGCCCAAAATGATGATCGCGAGCGTCGGCAGACCAAACCCCTAGAGCCTGAGTGACGTTATTATTATTAATATTATTTGTATTACTAATTCTTTGGTTTATTACTAAGTTTGTTGACAGTATAAGACCAACAATCCTTACCTGGGCGATTATCCTGAAGGCAAAACTGTCCTCTACGTGCTGCATCCTGACGCGGATCAACCATACCTTACCTGGCTGTAGGAGAGGTGTTGAGATGGGCAAAGACTTAAACAAACAACTCAACATTACAAAGTGTATTTAACAGCTAATACAAACTTCACTCACTCTATATAAATCCCTTGATATATAAATTATCACATATATATTAAACAGTGGACTATACAAACACGTAGAGATGAGGACATACCCAATAAGCTAAAGGAACTGAGAGTGTGAAAATGTGAGGGAGTTTGAGGTATCGTACATTAGGGAATAAGTTATCTTCTCAGTGTGTAAGGTCCCTCGGGGTGTAGGACAGGTAAAGACACGCGGCGGGGAAGGGGGTAAAGCCTTTTATTTTCCATTATTTACAGATGATTAAAGATACGATGAAACTTCTATTTAACGGATTATACAGAGAGGAAAGTCCGTTAAGGAAGGGTAGGTTAGAGTTAGGGTGCTTAATTATCAGATGAACACTAAAAGAAGGCGTTCTGACTCACCTGGTAGGGGGGTGGGTTGAGGTAGAAGGGGTCGGACACATCCAGGGGGCGAGCCAGGCTTAATTCACGGATTAAATTCTTCTCATAGATCTCTTTCCTCACTCTGGCAGGTGAGGGAGAGGAGGTTAGGGTAGGTGGAGGAGAGAGAGAGAGAGAGAGAGAGAGGGAGAGAGTACCCATCACCAACACCCTCCAAGTTGCTCAATCATCCAGCACAGATTGTTTACATAAATTCCTTAAAAAAAATTAATCAAACTCACGAGACTGTCCTTTGATCTCACCACAATATTATACCACCTTGATTCTCATCTCAGTGGTGATTATACGCAGCCTATAACAACACAATTTCTGTATTAAGAATGATAGGGAGACAAAATGGAAAGTCGTATTGAGAGCAGAGTACTTACGCCGTCAGGTTGAGAGATGTATGGGGGAGGGATGAGAGGGGTTGGCTGTTATACCACCTGGCTATGGACCCGCCCGTGTGGGAGCCGGTAGTACCCCCGTGAGCCGTTCTCGATATCTCCGGCAGTAGTAGTTCACGACCTTGCCGCACCACCTCCGTCCCCATCCAGAAGTCCCAGTCACCTGTCTGTAGGAGGCAATGAAGGAGTGTGTATAGGATTTTACACGCTGGATAGGGTTGTAAGGATATGTCAGGGTGAGGAGGAGGAGGGGGGAGGAAAAGGAGAAAGGGGAGGGGGAGGAGGATGAAGACGGAGGAAGAGGTAGCAATATGGGAGGAAGAAGAAGAGGAGGAGGAGGAGGGGGCGGAGGAGGAGGAAGAAGGAGGAGGTAAGAGAGCGGAGGTAGAGGAGAAGGAGGAGACTCACTTACTGACAACTTGTCCCCGTATGTCTTAAATCACCTTATACATTTTCTAAAAAGTTATCTTCACTATATAAACACTACTGCAACGTTACTAAAACAGAGATAACTTATACCACGTGCACGGGAGGCCACTTGGGTAGTGTCTGTTGGAGGAAGGCGGTAGTGGTCATCCAGCCGCAGGAGGGGAAGGACGTCACCCTCAGGAGGCGGGTCAGGTCATTGGCCGTGTGGGAGGAACTCAGGTGGGAGAAAGCTGACACCCCATACAGCCAGGCAGCCTCCTCCTCCAGCAGTACTGACGTCTGCTGCATGAACCTGTGGGGTACAGTACCACGTCATCAGAAGGAGGTTAACAGAGCCTAAAGTCTGCAGTACACCTTCAGTTTATCCTGAAGTCTATGAATAGTGGAGTCATTCCCGCCTTTAACAGTGACCTGGTCTCCCCGAGCAATATGGCACCGGTGTAAGAGGTTCCTAGCCGAGCGAAGGGTTTCAGTGACAGTGAATCAGCAAACCTCTTGTGATTCAGTTGGGCTCGTTATGAGAGTCAGAACCAATGTGAAGACGTTGTAAAGTTATGAGTGACATTGGTGTCGTCAACAACTATTTGAAACCAACAATGTTTATTTTGAATCACTATTGTAAGGTGGAGGGACTGTTGACTCACAATCCTCTCACTCTCTGTTGTCCAATGAGGCGTTGTAGTGGTTCCAATAATACAAACCTTTTTTTCGGCGACAGGATGAGTTTGGGGTGCACAATAAACTAGCTGCCGTTCGCGGTAAAATTCAAAACAATTCCCTCCTCACCCTCTCACCTCTACCCCCGAACTCCCAACACCCAACCCCCACCCACTTAACCCCTACCCCCAACCCCCTCACCCCCTACCCCCCTTGTTGTTTACACTCGAGGTAATCTTCCTTCATTCCTCCTTTCCCTACAAAAAAAAAAAGGTAACTCACGAGTAGAAGTCAGGAGCCAGTATAAGGTCCTCCTCGAGAATGATGAACTTGTCCACGTCTTCAAACGCTTCCAAGGCCTTGAACAGCGCAAACCTCAAGTGTCTGTGGGAAGGAGGAGGGGGGATAACGGTGAGAAAGTGGGGAGAAATTGGAGAGGAAATGGGGAGACTGTGGAGGAGAGATAACGGCGAGACACCAGGTAAAAATTGGGAGATAGTGATGAGGATAAAAATGTAAACACAAAGTGAAGAAAATCCCACAAAACAAAAATAAAAGTAGAAACAAAATGAACAATGCATCAGACGGTCCTACGAGACTATTCTATACTGAAGGAGTGGCAGCAGATACCACTACCTCCTTCTTTACCTGAAGACTTACCTGGAGATCCTGGAGGAAGTTTCCGTGCCCTCTCTGGTGTGGACGACGTAGCGGAGGCCGAAGATCTCCGCCAGCTTGATAGTCTCCTCCTCTGGGCCGTCCACTGACACCATTACCAAGTCGGGGGTGACACCTGGTTGAGTTAACAGTTGTTGCAGGAGTCTGGAAGAGGAGGAGATGGGTGGTGAGGAGGGACAACGTGAAGTATTAACCAAGGGAATAACTGAGAGAGAGAGAGAGAGAGAGAGAGAGAGAGAGAGAGAGAGAGAGATAAACACGTAAGCTATGACCTCACGGCGTCTGTTTTGTGTTGACATTACGGAGCTTATAGTGATGGTGGTTGTGTTCAGATCAACACAGCGGGTCACTTGTTGCTGGTGTAGTGGTAACCTTTCTATATGTCTCCTTGACCCTCACCAGCCTAGCAACAAAAACATTACATAATAATAAATATGTATACATAACCTATTTATATCAGTATACATAACCTATACATATACATATACGCATATACATAAAGGCTAGAACCATCTGTGTAAATACTGACTGGCGTAATAAACCCAAAGAGTCGCTGTCATATTGTTAAATGTCTTTATTTTATCCTTATGAGGTGTTAACACAGTGAGGGAGATCTTCCTCATTGAGACACAAATCTTCCTCAGTGAGACAAATCTTCCATGGTGAAACAGAATCTTCTTCAGTAAGACAAAATATGTTCCTCAGTAGGACAGAAACCTTCCTCACTGAGACAAAAATCTTCCTCACTGAGACAAAAATTATTCTTCAGCGAGACAAAAGTATTCCTCACTGAGATAAAGACTTGTAAAGGCTAAAATAAAATGTTTCTCCCTAAGAGTCGGATCACCCCATAGAGCAACACAGTGAAGGAGAAATTAGTTACAAAAATGAAAATCCATCGCTCGAGTTTCTATTTTTGTTGTTTAATTTTAACTTCAGTTGTAAGGTGTATTGCCGCTTTTCTTTTTGAGGAGTGTACACAAAAGGTGGAAGTTCATTGGTCCAGGGTTACAAGGGGGAAGGGCTTAAAGGGAAGGAGCTACAAGAGTGAAGAATTATAAAGGGGGGGGCTAAAGATGGAGGGTTTTAAGGGGAAGGGGTTAAAGGAAAGGGCTTCAAGTGGGAGGGACAAAGTGAAGGGGATAAAGGAAGGGGTTAAAAGAGGAAAAAGGGCTGAAAAGGGAAGCAAAGGAGGGGGGGCTAAAGGGGGATATATTGGCAAGGAGACGTGGGTGGAAGGAGGAGAAGTGGAGAAAGGAGGAAAGGTAGAACAGTGGAAAGGGAAGGAAGAAGGAGGAAATGGGGAAAATGAGATGAAGAGGTGCAGAGAAGAAGGAAAGGGGCAGGGAGAATGGGAGAAGGTGAGGAAGGAAGTGAGGAAAAGAAAGGAAAGAAGTAAAGAGAAAACAGAAAGAAGGAAGAGGAGAGGGGGGAACAGGAAAAAAAAGAGGAAATAGAAAGAGGGGAGAAGGAAGAGGGGAAAGGAAGAGGAGAGGAAGGAGGCGGGAGAGGTGTTAACTCCTCCTCCCCCGTCCTGGCCCCACACATACAACCTGTATGTGACGACATTAAAACGCTTAAGGAAAGATATGGACCATTATCCTAATTAGAGAGAGAGAGAGAGAGAGAGAGAGATAGAGAGAGAGAGAGAGAGAGAGAGAGAGAGAGAGAGAGAGAGAGAGAGAGAGAGAGAGAGAGAGTTACCCCAAAGCTCAATTACTGTAATGAGAAAACGATCGAATAACATACACACACACACACACACACACACACACAAATAAAAAACCATACACACTGACAAAAATGCAATAATTATGAGGTATTAACTAATAAAAAAAAAACTAAAAAACTAAAATCCTCCAGGGCAAAAATACAACCCTAATCAATAGGTACTTTGTAGGGTAATTAAGGCACAGATGTTATTAAGCTTGTGTTCAATAGGTGTATTTCCAGGGCTAATTAATAAGGCTTCTATTGTAATGTTTTCTACGAGGTAATTACGTCAGGCTTTGTAAGATGTTCCGTGTGTGTGTGTGTGTGTGTGTGTGTGTGTGTGTGTGTGTGTGTGTGTGTGTGTGTGTGTGTGTGTGTGTGTGTGTGTGTGTGTGTGTGTGTGACAGGGGAGGACTCAGGTGTGACTTACCTGTACAAGTAGTGAGGTCGAGGGCCCGCCAACATCACTATGGCGATGTTTTCCCGCCACCAACTCTGTCAAGGAACATTTGAACACGTGAACACTCCCGAACACACCTGTAGAACACACATGAAGAACGTACCTATTGAACACACCTGTTAAACACACCTGAAAAACGTACCTATTGAACACACCTGTAGAACACACCTGAAGAACATACCTGAAGAACATACCGAGAGAGCACACCTAGACAGAGCGGATTGAACTACTAATACAAAGGTGCTGGAAGGTCACATCATCACCGTCAGGACAGCTAAGTAGTTCCTTTGGCGAGGTGGAGTAAATATACCTGACGAGGTCTTTAAATGTAGCTGACGAGACCTTTAATTGTAGCTGACGAGGCCTTTAAATATAGCTGACGAGACCCTAAAATTATAGCTGACGAGACCTTTAAATTATAGCTGACGAGACCTTTAAATTATAGCTGACGAGACCTTTCCTGGCAAGATGGTTATAAAACACAAAAGCTAGTGAGAGAGGGGATGACGTCACCTTTCAGCTTCTCAAGAATCGCCTTATCAAATTTATTTTTTTGGGTGGAAGAAATAAACAGAATAACTCCTTCTTAATATGATACAAAAGAAAATAAACATTACTTACTTGTGGTACGATACTGACCTCTCTTAAGATGGGTGTTGGTGGGGCGGGCGCGGGGTCAGTACAAGAACACAGGCCAGCGTATCCGTCGTAGAGATCACAAAAGTGGTGACGCTTCTGCCAATGTTCACCAGAGTGCCAGGTGGTGCATAGTCTACCTGCAGGGAGAAACAGAGAAGTGGATAGATGGATTAGTGGATGGCTTGGTGGATAGATGGATGGATGGACATAAAGACATAGATAAATGAACATGAATAAGTGTAATAGATGGATGGATGGATGGACACATAAATGGATAAATAGACGATTGGATAAAACAGTGAATGTTGGGCAGAGAGAGAGAGAGAGAGAGAGTTAAGACACCTTACTAGAAAAACACTACAAACACACACACACACACACACACACACACACACACACACACACACACACACACACACACACACACACACACACACACACACACACACAGGTAACAATCGACCTGCCTCATTACACCAACTAGCCAGACAATAGCAGGTGTTAGAGGCGTCACTCATTACGTAACCCCATTGACTACCTGTTATACCATCATCATCAATATATTCTTAAGATAATCCATACTAATGAGGTCACTCGCTATTGTCGTCAAGAGGGTAGGGTAGGGTAGGGTAGGGTAGGGTAGGGTAGGGTAGGGTAGGGGGTAGGGTAGGGTAGGGTAGGGTAGGTAGGGTAGGGTAGGGTAGGGTAGGGTAGGGTAGGGTAAGGTAGGGTAGGGTAGGGTAGGGTAGGGTAGGGTAGGGTAGGTTGTTGTTTATCTCACTCTTTTATCCAGTACGTCCTTCATCCCTTCCTTCACCTATACTTTATCCTTCTGTCTCCTTCATCCTCATCCTTCCATCCATCTTTCCCTTTAAACCTCACTTGTATTATAAAACCCAATCCCTACGACATCCTACCTGACTTACCTGCAGGATGAGGAGCATGGAGGAGCACCTGTAGGTTTAGTGGGCGTGGGAGAGTGAAGGAACCCCGAGGATTGGTCACTAAGGCTTCAGCCAGTGTCTCACCACCCGCACGCCACACCCACGCCCAGCAATCACGGAACTTGAGGTGTGGTGCCGCCCATGATCCCAGACGGTGTAACATTGATCTGGCTTTGGTACCTAGGCGGGCTGAGGCATCGTACTGTAAATAAGTATTGTATCAGATATAAAATACCTGGTACTTGTAATTAGGGATAATATCAGGGGTGATACCAGAGATAATACCAAAAAAATAATGATGATTTCGATATTATTTCATATTTTATCGAAAGCTGAAATAATTTGTATATAAACCCTTTAAAATCTGGGTTCTATATTACGTTGCCTCTCTCTCTCTCTCTCTCTCTCTCTCTCTCTCTCTCTCTCTCTCTCTCTATCTCACCAACGTCAACACTCACGTAGGAGACAAGGAGAGCCAACCTCCCCTCCTTCAGGTCAGCCAAGGTACGAGTTAACTCTTGATCCAATAGATGATCGATGGTGTTGAAGTAGCGAGCCAGTGTCACCTGTCCAGTGTAGGGGTTAATGACTCTCAGGTAGCACCCAGAGTAAGGAGGCACCGTTACCCATCCAGTCATCGAGGTGGTCCTGGTGTAGTTACCTTCCCTCATTATCTGTTAATAGTGGGCATGTGGGTATTATGCGGGTATAATGTAGGTATGTGGGTACAGTGATATAGTGGGTCTGAAATGTTAACTTTTTATCTTTATGGCGACAGTATCTAGCCTCTGACACACACACACACACACACACGATATATCAGAATTCGCAGAAAAAGTAATAATATTGGACAGTAGCTCAAGGCTCTGTCAATATTATTTCCGTTTAATCAATTTTGCGTCTGTGTAATACTGGATGTTTATATGGTACTGTGTTTTATGAGTTCCTTTCTCTCTCTCTCTCTCTCTCTCTCTCTCTCTTACCGTCCAACACAGTTAGTTACCTCCTTGTTGTTGACGGTAATTGAGGTATATTGGAGAGAGGAAGTGAGGGTGACCTGGAGCGAGACGTCCCCCAGGTCAGGAAGTAGAGGCCAGGTCACCGGTACATCAGCTAACCTCAGGGTGGGGTCATCTGGTGGGGGGGGGGGGGAAGGTCAGGTAGGGATAAAAGAAGATTAGGTTTTCTTTCTTACAATATTATCAAGACAGACGAAAAGATAAAGTCCTTTTATTACTTTGACAAAATATAAGATTAATTTTTTTCTGGGAAGTGACACCAATAACACAATGAGATAATATGAGGAAAAAACGACTCATATGTCAAGCTGATATAAAGGTTATTTTAATTTAGCCTTATCTTGAATTAATCACTATACTACACAAATAACATTCATCATACATTCATACATTATTTTTCATACATCTTCATTTATTATGCCTATTATTCAACTGTTTTAATGTCTTCAATAAAACTAACTCATCTTTTTCAAATATTTTCACTCATGAATAACATTAACTCACTTCATTCGTATTTTCTCAATTGTTTTCACTCACCGATGAAGTCACTGAGGGAGGCATTGGTGTAATTCTTGTCGGAGATCAGAAAGTCTCTACCGTCGAAGGTCCTAAGAGCAAAGAGGTTATCGACCACTGGGGTAACGTTCATGTAGATTGGGATGTGTTGACCTCTTATTACCGCTTCTTTTATCTGTAGAGTCATGGTTAGGTTAGGTTAGGTCAGCCACCATCCACCACTGCCCACTACAACCCATCACAACCCATCCAATACTCACTACCACCCACTACAACCCACTACAACCCACTACAACCCATTACAACCCACCACAACCCACTATAATCCACCAAAACCTACAACAATCCACCACAACCCACCACAACCCACTACAACCCACCACAACCCACCATTCCCTGGGCGTCAGCATGCAGCAAGACAGCCTCGAGCTCTTCCTTGGTAGCTCCTGCGGCAGTAAGACCCGTGTCATCGGCCATAACCTCCAGGGTACGGTTCTTGCCCTCTGGCGTGGACACTGTGAGGCGCAGGGGTGTAGGAGCCGCCTCCACGCCCACGCCACGCCACCCACATGTCCACATCACCGGCAGGAGGGTGATGACGGCAAAGCTGGTATACATTCTGAAGCAGATATGAGGGAGTGGTATTGCTGATGGAGGATATACATACATACATACATACATACATACATACATACATACATACATACATACATACATCTCTCTCTCTTCCTCCATACCCCTCTCTCTCTCTCTCCTCAGTTCCTCCGGGCGAAAACCCATCCAATCATTAGAGGTAATTATCCCTATGACCAGCGGTAACTATCACAACAACACCGCCATTATTCGAGGCAACAAAAGCGGAAATCTGCCTCTAATTGGGTTGTTAGCCGTGTCTTAACATACTTGACATATCTTAAACGTGTCTTTAGTTTACTCTGAGGACATAAACAACGGCTTATCTGAATATGTTGTTGGAGTGTTGGAGATTGGTGGTGGGTGTGAGGGAGGGGTGGTGTCGTGGTGTGGGAGATGCTTCCAGTGGAGTGAGGGAGGGGTCGGTGGTGATGGTGATAAGGGGGTGAGGGGTGGTGAGGGAGAATGGTGGTCGGGGGATGATGCCGAGGAATGGGTGTTAAACAATAAGAAACACGTCCACACATTCTTCACCGTGTGTGTGTGTGTGTGTGTGTGTGTGTGTGTGTGTGTGTGTGTGTGTGTGTGTGTGTGTGTGTGTGTGTGTGTAGTAACGAGATATCACTTACAGGAGCCTATGACTGTCACTAACTGTAGCTATTTGGTCATAAAACACACACACACACACACACACACACACACACACATCTTATCCATTCTAACCTAACCTAACCTTATCACTTCCAGTCTACCGTAACAAGAGCTGATATATCCTGCCATAGCCTGTCATTATAGGACATGATATAGTACTGTATATCCCGCAGCTCTATTATTGGTGGATATAGTCTTCATGGCTACTTACGCGATATTCAGCTAAACTGGAGTATCTTAGCTTTTGATGATGGTCCAGATCAAGTGTCTTAGCTTTCACGGTATAGCTTTATCCGTTGCTTCAGTAGAATATCTTAGCTTTAAACTTTAGAACTTCTGCCTTAGCTTACACACTATAGCTTTTCCAGGCTCTTAAAAAATACCAGCTAACATTATACTACTTTCACTGATACATTTTTTTAGCTGTGAGAGAGAACACTGAGAGTCATGTAGCTGAAGACATTATAGTTTAGCTGTCTTCATCATGGCCACAACATCCAATGAGGAAAAATTGCATGAAAAATTACCCTCACCGCGTATGTTCTCAGTTGACACGAATATTGAACAAGTTTCCTTCTATACCAAGTAATAAATAGTTGAATTAATATTATTTCTCGTAGTACAATTTTATGTTTATGTGACCCGTTTCAAGTATCGTTAACTCCTGCGTGATTTAGAGATTTAATTGTGGAGTTATGATCGTGGTATTTTCTGAACAGGGAGGAGACCGGGTAAGACTAATGTGTGTTGGTGGTATGTGGCAACTTTTTATCTCTACCTTCTCTCCCTCCTCCCTCCCTCCCTCCCTGGGCTCTACCTCTTCCCTCCCATCATACCCTCTCCTAGTCTTTCCTTTCACTTTCTTTGTTCCCTCCCCCCCCCCGTCCCCTTCCCTACCCACATTTCTGCTCCTCCCTTTTTACCTATTCCCACTCTCTCTTCCCTTCCTATCTCTACCCTTCCCTCCTTCCTTTCTACCTCTCCCCTTCTCCTTTCCTATCCCTCCCTCTCCCCCTCTTCCTTCCTACCTCTCCCCCCTCTCCTTTCCTCCCTCTCCCTTACTGCTACCCCTCCTTCCTCAGATCCTACCCCTCCCCTGCCCTCCTCCTCCTCCTACAGGATGAACACTGTTGTTAAGCCTCAAGTAACATCTCCACCTACGTGTGTGTGTGTGTGTGTGGAGGGGGGAGGAGGGGGTCAGTGGGGGGGGGGGGATAATTTATACGTCATTTAGAAGGGAGGGGAGGGAAGGGAGGACAAGGAGAGGGTAGGGGGTAAAGTTAGTGTCTCTGCTACGACTGTGAATATAGGTAGCCTCTTCACCTCTTTTGGCCAACACTAATAGATGGAGGGAGATTATTGGTGTGACGTGTAGCTATCCTTAACGTATTGTACAGTCCCCTTCACTATAGCGTTTACAGGGGCTCGTCAGGTTATGTACAGTGTGGTAGCCCTGTGTTTGTTTACATTCGACCTGATGGAAACTCACAATGGAAAACATACTATGGAACCAATTTAAAACAATATTAAAAACAAAAATATTTACCCTGTATATTTTAATGTAATGATTTATGGAATGTTTATATGAGGAGCCCCTGTAAACACACTAGTGAAGGGGACTGTACATTGGTGGGCAAAGGTTAGCTCCCGGTGTTGAACTTGACAGGTATGATACTTGGAACTTACTCTATTTTATCTCATTTGGGGTCGATGCTGCTTCATTCTGGGAGGGAGTGAACTTTTGACCCCGACTGCATGTGTGTTTATAATGGTGTGGTGTGGTGTGGTGTAGTATGGTGTTGGTGTGATGTAGTGTGGTGTAGTGTGGTGTTGGTGTGATGTAGTGTGGTGTAGTGTGGTGTTGGTGTGGTGTGGTGTAGTGTGGTGTGGTGTAGCATGGTGTTGGTGTGGCGTGATATTTGATATAGTGTTGACTCTAAATCAGATTTGTCCGGGTAAGACACAATAATAACATTTTATCCGGATTTCGTTCAGTTGTCCGGAAGATTTTTGGGACGGTCAGTGTTCCTCTTATCCTGCTTGGGGAGTATTTAGGCGGGTAATGTGGATCAAGTGGATGACATTGTGTGGATCAGGTGGATGACACTATGTGGACCAAGTAGATGATACAGTGTGGACCAGGTGGATGATACTGTGTGAACCAGGTGGATGATATTGTGTGAACCAGGTGGATGATATTGTGTGAACCAGGTGGATGATATTGTGTGAACCAGGTGGATGATATTGTATGGACCAGGTGGATGATATTGTGTGGACCAGGTGGATGACACTGTGTGGACCATCCCACACCCACAAACATATTTTTTTCCCAGTATTTGTTTCACTATAATAAACTGCAACAAAGACGAGGGTTAACAATACTGGGAAACAAAATCTTGAAAAAATATTATTGTTATAAAATCCGAAGAGAAAGAAAGAGTATGAGAATGTCAACAAATAGTTCACATGGTGTAGAGAGTACACTCGATTGGTGACACTTTCCTCATATTTCTCTCTCTCTCTCTCTCTCTCTTTCCCTTCCCAGAGGTCGTGTTTCCCTCCCTCCTGGACATTTATTTCCTTGTCCTCTGGTGTCGGACAATATCGTGTTATTGTCCGGCCGCTGGTCAAATTGGCAACACTGGGGTGACATAATGATGGCTCGTGTCTAATGATCTGGTAGCCTAAGGGAGAGAGAGAGAGGAGTGGGATGAGAGGGAAAAGAGAGAGGGGGGAGGAAAGGCAAGGTGGATGGGAGAGGAGGAGAGAGGAGGGGAAAGGCGAGGAAAGGGGAGTGGAAGGAGAGTGGCGGGAGAGATGGAGGAAAGACGACGAGAGGGGAGAGAGGAAGAGGAGAGGGATGAAAAAGAGGGGAGAGGGAATAGGAAGAGACGAAAGGAGGAGAGGGGAAAGGAGGGTGTCTCATCTTCAAGTGATACAAACTGGGTTGTCTAAGCTTCTGATAACACCAAAGCTAAAATCGTACTCTAGCAGCTTATTACTAGAATAGGACTCAAGAAATACTACAACACAGAGTACTAGAAGACTCAGCCTTCTCACCTGACACACCACACTGCCCTCATCTCTTACCTGGTGTCAGTGAGGTCAAGCTTAGGTTGTAGGCCCCCCCCCCCACCTCCCCCCTCTCCACCCTCCCCCACCCCTCTCTCTCTCACTTCGGTCTTTATCCCTCTCTCTCCTTCTCTCTCTCTGTCTCTCTCTCTCTCTCCCTCTCTCCTCCAGGGAAGACGACCCACCAGATCATCCAGGTCAAGGGTTAAAGTTCATATCTTCAAGACTATACTATTTCACCAGTGTGTCTGATGCCCTTTTCACTACTACTACCACTGGCCCCATACTATAACCACTACTACGACCACTTGCCCACACAATCACCACTATCATCACTACCTCTCCGACCACCTGCCCACACTATGGCCACTACGACAATGCAGTATATTAAGAAAAGACAGTAAAAAAAATAGACAGGCGACAGAGAAAGAGACCAGTCAACACGAAGATGGAGAGAGCATTAGCGTCACCGTCCCAACCACCATTATTAAACCCAGACAAGAGCAGAAACCGATGACAAAATATAATAAACATTCTGCAAAAGTGAGGGAAGGGGCGTCCACGGTGGGAAGGGAAGGGGCGTCCACGGTGGGAAGGGAAGGGGCGACCACGGTGGGAAGGGAAGGGGCGACCACGGTGGGAAGGGAAGGGCGACACGGTGGGAAGGGAAGGGCGTACACGGTGGGAAGGGAAGGGCGTACACGGTGGGAAGGAAGGGCGACCACGGTGGAAGGGAAGGCATCCACGGTGGAAGGGAAGGGGCGAACGGTGGAAGGGAAGGGCGACCACGGTGGGAAGGGGCGACTGCGGTGGGAAGGAAAGGGACGTTTGGGATGGGGAGTAGGGTCAGTCTGGGGATGGGGTGGAAGGGTCGTCTGGGGATGGGGGGTAGGGTCGTCTGGGGATGGGGTGGAAGGGTGTCTGGGGATGGGGGAGTAGGGTCGTCTGGGGATGGGGTGGAAGGGTCGTCTGGGGATGGGGGGGTAGGGTCGTCTGGGGATGGAGGGGTAGGGTCGTCTGGGGATGGGGGGAGGGAGGTCTCAGTTCGGACTTTGATGAGAGAGTCGACGAGGTTGTTTATCCTGTTGACGTAAGTTTTGAGAGAGCTGACGGAGTCATCGTGAGTCGCGGGGATGGGCGTCAAGTTTATGTCCCGTGCCGACAACAAGTCAGCCGAGGAATTGGCGCTGATGGACTCTGATGCCGCGTCCGGTGACCCCACTAACGACGACGCCTCTGGTGACCAATCTGTCTCCGACGCCTCTGGTGAACCCCCTACCGACGGAGCTCTCTGTAACCCCCATGTCGGTGGCGCCTTCTTTGACCTTCCTGTCGGCATAACTTATTATAATTTTTAGAAAATCGGAAAAAAAATATTATTCTCGAAAATCACCGTAAAGTGCAATATTAATTTTATCCATTAACTAGGTGGTACACAGTTAAGTGGAGGTGTAAGTGGTGGAGGTGTAAGTGGTGGAGGTGTAAGTGGCGGAGGTGTAAATGTCCTGGGTGACGTCACACTGGCTACACCTAATACAACACTGATGAAATGTTCAGCGCTAACCTAGCCTGACCTAACCTAACCTAACCTAGCATTCGTGTGTGAAATTCAGGTGAGTTAACATCTCCCAGGTGCATGTTTAAAAAGGTATAAAAAGACCATTTAAGTCTTACACCTGGCTTTTACGACGGCCCATACTACTCTAGGTCCTGTTACTGTTAAGGAAGCCCATAAAGTGTTGTGTGAGTAGTAGTAGTAGTAGTAGTAGTAGTAGTAGTAGTAGTAGTAGTAGTAGTAGTAGTAGTAGTAGTAGTAGTAGTAGTAGCAGTAGTAGTAGCAGTAGTAGTAGTACCCTTCAATAAAGTACTGCAAAATATTAATATACAAAATTAAATTCTACTTGTACATTATATTCAAGGGATTTCATTTACTTGCATTCTATTGGTGAAAATGTCATAATTATTTTATACTATTTATTGACATTATATCGTTATTTTCTATATCAAGTTTAAAATTTTTCCCTTGTTGTTTTTGGGTGAGAGAGAGGGTGAGAGAGAGAGAGAGAGAGAGAGAGAGAGAGAGAGAGAGAGAGAGAGAGAGAGAGAGAGAGAGAGAGAGAGAGAGAGAGATAATCGTAGGGTCAGGTTAGGTTGATGCTATATAGTGAAACACGGCGGGCGGAATGCGTAGAGTTATATGGACTGACCCATCCTACCTCCTCTCACACATGCACACGCTCTCTCTCTGTCTGTTTATTTCTCTCTGTTTGTCTATATATCAACACCTCAACCCACCAGGATTCGAACCCACGGCCCACGAGCCCATGACTGTGATCGGGGAACGCTCCCTCTGGACCACCAGGATATATATATATATATATATATATATATATATATATATATATATATATATATAT